GCGACGAAAATTATTGAATTCTAGGCGCTGGTCATCTTACTGTGAGTCGAATCGACTGTAGAATTGACGAGCGCTGATTCTGTAGGTCGCGTAATTCTCCCTTAGTTGAAATTAGCGTCCGATCTCGGGCGTTAAGAAGAAATTCGATCCGACGCTCCAAATTCCAACCCTTTTGGTCGAAATTCTCAGGGCCGTTGAGATTCGAATCGATCCGACGGTCAAAATTCCAACTTTTTCGCCACTGGACCTGAGGAGTGTTCGAAAACCGGTTCGAGGGGGACATAAGAAAATAGCGCGGAACTGGTTTACGTACCCGAAATCGGCGCTTTCCGTCGTCGCCCCCGCGGTTTTAAAAGCTAGGTTTTAGCGGTAGAAAAACTTCGCTTCGAGCAGGCTCTGATTACCAAGTGTGAGGATCTAGGATCGAGCTCAGAAAAGAGAGTTTGAATAGAATAATTTACCTGGGTACAACACGAGGCTATATAGGCTCGACACAAGGCCCTGTAACCAGGTGTTACGCGAAGGTTCCGCGGGTCGCGAAGTGTCCCGAACAGATCCTTCCCGAATTCGGTAGAAGGCAATTCGGTGGCAACCGAAAAGCCAGAATTCGGTGCACGCAACCTAGCTCGGTGCTATAACTATAATAAAATATAGGAAAGCACCTAGCCTAGGAAATCAAGCAATTCATGCATGCATATAATTATCCTATGCTAGAAATAGCATGATAAAGTAAAGGCAAGCAAGCATAACTGGCATAAGCCGTCGTACTCTCACAGTGACGACCGGTGCCGACGAAGCGGGCGAGCACGCTGATGGGGTAGGCGAGGTCGGGGCGGGTGCACATCATCGCGTACATCAGGGACCCAACGAGCTCGGCATAGGGGTGGGGAGAGGAGGTGGGGGAGGAGGGTGGTGGGAGTTGGTGGCCAAAAGGGAGGGGGGTGGAGACAGGCTTGGTCTGCGCCATGTCGAATTTCTCCAAGACCTGGCCGATGTAGTCGGACTGTGAGAGGATGATGGTGCGAGCAGGCCGGTTGCGCGTGATGGCCATGCCCAAGTAGTGAGTGAGGGCGCCAAGGTCTTTGCACTTGAGACGCTGCTGCAGGGACAGCTTCATCTTCTCCATGTCGGCCTTGGTGTCAGAGAGCAGGATCATGTCGTCCACATACACCAGAATGAAGAATCGGCGGGGGGAGGAGCAGATGAAGAGGCTGGCGTCAGAGTGGGAAGCGGAGAAGACGAGAGACCCTAAGGTGGCAGCCAGCTTCGCATGCCACTCACGCGGTGCCTGCTTCAAACCGTAGACAGGGCGGCGCAGCTGCCAGACAGTTTTCTGAGGGAAGGTTGCATGGAACCCGGGGGGTCGCCGGAGGAAAATGCGCTCGTGCAGGTCGCCCTGCAGGAACGCATTGGAGACGTCCATGGAATCGATCTCCATGTTGTCACGTGCGCCAATGTCGAGGGCGGCGTGAAGGGTGGGTGGTTTGGCGGTGGGGGCGTAGGTGAACCAGTAGTCCTCGGCCCAAGTCTGCGTGAACCCCTTGGCGCTGTAGCGGGCCTTGTACACCGGTTCCTCGCCCGGCAGCTGCTTCACTCGAAAGACCCATTTCCCGTCCACGAGGTTGGCGCCGGCTGGGAGGGGGACTTCGACAAAGGAGTCATTGCGAATGAATGCCTCACACTCCAGGAAGATCGATGCTATCCATTTATCCGCGTCAGGGCAAGTGATGGCTTCCTGGAAGGTGGAGGGAGTGAAGGTGGTGGGGGTGGTGGTGGCGCCAAGGACAGGAAAGCCCAGGAAGTCAAGGTAGAGGGAGGTAAGGAACGGAGTGTGCTCCCGAATGTTGAGGAACTCCTCATGGGAGTCCTCAAGGAGCTGAATTGAGGCAGGAGGAGGAGCTCCAAGGATTTTGTCCACCGAGCGGGTATGGATGTAAGGGAGGAGGAAGGGGGAGGAGCGGGAAGTGGCACGGCGCCCCTACTGCTGCTGGTGCTGCTGAAGCTACTGCCCTTGTTGTTGCGGCTGCTGCGGACCTTGCTGCTGCTGTGTCTGCTGCTGCCGACTGTGCTGCTGCTGCTGCTGCTGCTGCCCCGGCTGCCATTGCTGCTGCTGCTGTTGCCCCTGCTTCCGTTGCTGGTGTTGCTCCGGCTGCTGCTGCTGCTGCTGCGGCTGCTGCTGGTGCTGCTGCTGCCCCTGCTGGTGCTGATCCGGCTGCTGCTGCTGCTGCCCCTGCTGTTGCTGATCCGGCTGCTGGAAAGGAGGAGAATGAGAGGAGGAGGGAGAGGGGGGAGGGGGTGCAGTGGAGTGAGCGGGGGAGGCGGGTGCGGCAGGGTTGTAGACGTCGGCAGAGGAGGAAGGCGGGAGTGGAGCGGCGACAGGTGGGAGGAGAGGCGCTGGAGGGAGAAGAGGCGGGAGGACGGTGTCGGTCCAAGCGAGGGGGCGAGTGGGAGGAGGGAGGGGGTCAGGAGGAGGGGTGGAGTAGTAGGGAGTGGACTCGTCGAAGACGACGTCAATGCTGCAGATGAGGCGATTGGTGGGAGGGTGGAGGAATAGGTAGCCAGGGGAATCACGATTGTGCCCAAGGTAGACACACTCCAGAGCGCGAGGAGCGAGCTTGCCAGCAGCGCGGGAGCGGTCGGCCGGTGGAATGAGGATGAATGCCTTACAGCCCCAAACACGAAGGCCTGCGGCGTCAGGCTTGGCCTTGGACCAGAGTTCTGTGGGGGAGGAGGAGGGATGCTGAGGGTGGGAGCGGAGATTGAGGAGGAGGGCGGCATGAATGAGAGCATAGCTCCAACGGGAGGGAGGGGTGGAGGCATGAGCAATGAGGCAGCGCGCAATCTTGGTGATCTCACGGATGCGACTCTCAGCGATGCCGTTTTGCTGAGGGGAGTGGGGAAGGGTGGAGGCCTGCTGAATGCCGTATGTTTTGCTTTAAGTGGAGAGAGTATGATTGATGAACTCACCCCCACCGTCAGAATGAAGGCGGCCTATGGGACGTTTGAAGTGGTTGCGGCACTGCTCAGCCCAGTTGATGACCACAGCCGGCACCTGGTCTTTCGTGTGAAGAAAGAAGACGGTGGAGTACCGACTGTGGTCGTCGACGAGCACGAGCATGTACCTGTGCCCCTGACGAGAGCGGATGGGATAAGGGCCCCAGAGATCCATGTGAACAAGGTCAATGGGGGAAGGAGCGAAGGTGGGGTGACTGTGATGGGGGGACTGTTTGAGCTTGCCATGAATGCATGATGAGCATGGGGGAGCAGGGGAGGAGAGGAGGGGAGGTAAGGTGGGAGGAAGGTTGTTAAGGAGGCGAGAGGTGACGGTGGAGCGAAGTGCGGCGAAGTTGGGATGGCCGAGTCTGTGATGTAGGAGCACCGCAGGATGGGAGAGGGCAGTAGAGGAGGAGGGGGATGGGGTGGGGGAAAAGTTGGGGGGGGAGGAGGAGGCGGATGGAGTAGAGGAGGAGGATATCGGAGGGTGAGGGGGAATAGGAGGGGGAGGGGGAGGGAGAAGGGGACCGGTGGAAGTACCAGCACGAGTGGTGACGTGACAAAAGGAGGGACGGGGTGTTCGGAGCATGTAAAGGCGAGTGCGAGGGCAAAGAGGAATACGCAGGAGGAAACGACCAGAGGCGGTGTGATAGAGATCGTAGTAGGAAGCAAAGCCAGGGTATATGGCGGTAATGCCAACGCCTTGGAGTTCACGGTGGGAGAGGAGATTATTGCGAAGGGTAGGGATGTGGAGACCGGTGACTGTACCGGATGGGAAGGCGGTGCAAGGAAGGGTGGAGAGGTGAGTGCAGGGGATGGAAAAGCTGGAGTCGGCACCATGAACCTGGGTGGGAAGTGGGAGGGGGGTGAGGGTGCCAGCATCTTTTAGTGCGGTTTCGGTGGCCCCACTGTCAAGGACAAAGTCCAGGGTGGGGGGGGAAGGAGAGGGAGGGAACACAGAGTACTGGAGAGTTGTTTCATGGATAGAAGAGGGAGAGAGCGGCGGGTGCTGCTGCTGTAAGTACTGTTGCTGTGGCGGCTGCTGCGGTGGGAGAGACTATGGCGGTTGCGGCTGGAGAGATTGGGCTGCTGCTGCTGCCGGAAGCACCACCGATGCTGCTGCGGTTGCTGCGGCTGGAGAGATTGTGGTGGCTGCTGCTGCTGGAAGCACTGCTGCTGCTGCGGATGGAGAGAATTGTGGCTGGTGGTGCTGCTGGAAGCACTGTTGCTGCTGCGGCTGAAGAAACTGTGGCTGCCGTTGCTGCTAGAAGGACTGCTGCTGCTGCTGCGGCGGAAGGAACTGTGGCAGATACTGCTGCTGGAAGCACTGCTGCTGTTGCGGCTGAAGAAACTGTGGCTGCTGTTGCTGCTGGAAGGCCTGCTGCTGCTGCTGCGGCAGAAGGAACTGTGGCAGCTGCTGCTGCTGGAAGCACTACTGCTGCTGCGGCTGGGGAAACTGTGGCTGCTGCTGCTGCAGCGGGAGGAACTGTGGCAGCTGCTGCTGCTGGAAGGACTGCTGCTGCTGGGGATGGAGAAACTGTGGCGGGTGAGGCTGGAGAGATTACGGCTGCTGTCGGTGTAGGAAGAACTGCTGCTGCAGCGATTGCCGCGGCTGGAGGAGATGTGGGGGGTGTGGCTGGAGAAATTGTGGTTGCTGCCACTGCTGGAGGTGCTGCTGCTGCTGATGCTGGAGCTGCTGGAAACGCCGCAGATGGGGAGGGGGGGAGGAGGTGAGCAGGCGGAGATAAGGGGGGGGGGGAGGAGTGGAGGGTCGGAGTGTTGAGAAGTGAGGGGCGAGGAGTAACACTGCTCCAGTGAGGAGGGGGTAGAGGGGCAGGGGGGGTAGCAGTCATGATGGATGACGGCGGGTGGACCCGCCGCAGCCAAGGGTGAAGTTGCTGCTGCTGAGGCTGCTGCACTTCCCCTGCTGCCGTTGCTGCTGCCGCTGGCAGGAGGAGGGAGGGGGGGGTGTAAAGGAGGGAGACAGCGGTGGAGGGCAGAGGCGTTCAAGGTGCAGGGAGCGACGGTGACAAGGGCGCAGGCGACTGTGCGAACGTGCGGCAGCGGGAAGGGGAGCGGTGGCAAAGTCGGGGGCAGAGGCGGCAAGCAGGCCGCGACGACGAAGGGCGCAGGCGACAGCGGAAGGGCCGCGGCGGCGATGTTGAGAGCAGCGGCTGCAAGCAGGTTGCGGTGGCAGAAAGGTGAAGGCGGCGGGGAAATGGCTGCGTCGGCGAAATGAGGGACGGCGGCGGCAGGCAGGCTGCGGCAACGAGGGGCGCAGGGGGAGGGGGAGGGGGGGGGGGGAGAGGAGTAGGGAGAGGAGGAAGGGAGGGTGCAGTTGCGGCTGAATCTGCAGGCGGCGACGGGGCAGTCACGGCGGCAGGAAGTGTGGGCGGGGATGGCGCGGTCGCGGTGGAGGATGGGCAGGCGGCGCCGAAGCAGTGGCGGCGGCAGGGCAGCGGCGGTGCAGTCGCGTTAATGGGAACCGCGGGGCGACGATGTTGCAGTTGCAGCAGGGGAAATTGCGGGCGGGTGGCGATGCAGAAGGGGCAGCGAAATGTGTGGGTGACGCAGAAGCAGGTGCGGCGGTGGGAGGGGAGGCAGAAATGCGAAATCGCGGCGGGCGGGGGGGGGGGGGGGGGGGGGGGGGCGCGGGACGGTGACGACGAGCAGTCGCGGCGGCGGAATGCGCAGGCGGCGATGTTAGGTCGCGGCGGCGGGACGGGGAGGCGGCGACGTAACGTCGCAGCGGAGGGACGGGCAGGCGGCGACGAGGCGTCGCGGCGGCAGGATGCGCAGCCGGCGCTGAAGCATGCGCGGCGGCGGGAACGCGACGACGAGACGTCGCGGCGGAGGGACGCGCAGGCGGCAACGAGGCGTCGCAGCGGCAGGATGTGCAGGCGGCGCCGTAGCAGGCGCGGTGGCGGGAACGCGGCGACGTGACGTCGCGGCGGAGGGACGGGCAGGCAGCGACGAGGCGTCGCGGCGGCAGGATGCGCAGGCGTAGCCGTAGCAGGCGCGGCGGCGGGAACGCGGCGACGTGACGTCGCGGCGGAGGGACGGACAGGCGGCGATGAGGCGTCGCGGCGGCAGGATGCGCAGCCGGCGCTGAAGCAGGCGTGGCGGCGGGAACGCGACGACGAGACGTCGCGGCGGAGGGACGGGCAGGCGGCGACGAGGCGTCGCGGCGGCAGGATGCGCAGGCGGCGCCGTAGCAGGCGCGGCGGCAGGAACGCACCGACGTGACGTCGCGGCGGAGGGACGGGCAGGCGGCGACGAGGCGTCGCGGCGGCGGGATGCGCAGGCGGCGACGAATCAGGCGCGGCGGCGAGAGGGGGAGGCGGCGACAGGGGGTCGCGGCGGGGGGGAGGAGGGGACAGCGGCGTTGCGATCGCGGCGGTGGTATCCGCAGGCGAGGAAGGCGTTATCGCGGCGGGAGGGGGGGGGGGGAACGGCGGCGACGGCGTAGGTCGCGGCGAGAGTATGCTAGTGATGGCTAGTTGAGCCACGCATAGGAAAGGGTTTGTAGCTGTGGGGTGGGCCCATGGGAAAAAAAAACTGAAGGGAGGGAGAGGTAAGGCCTAGGAACAAGTAGCTCTATACCATGTGAAAGTAGCAAATTGAACAAGTAACTTGATTAGAAGAGAAACCTAGCATACATAGTTGGAAGAGAGGCTTGGAAGAGAAGGGTGAAGGTGACCATAGGTTGGGTTGACCTCACTTGTAGAAGTGAGGCAACCCTAGGCCCACTTGGCTTGAGATGACCTCACTTGTAGGAAGTGAGACACCCATAAGCCAAGTGGGTTGCATTTGGGGGCTCCACCACAATTGGGTGGATTGGCACCCCAAAGTGCAAGACTACACCCAAAGTTGGGTGTAGTCCCAACCCAACTGTACACCACAATTGGTGTACAGTCACATGTGTTGGCATGCTACACAACATATATTTTAACAGTGTGCATCATGTGCATGGCATGTGTGGTGCCACATGGCACCAGTGCATGGTGGTGTGTGCATGGTGGTGAGTGCATGGTGGTGTGTGCATGGTGGTGTGTGGGTGGTATGACATGTGTGGTGCCATGCCACATGGCACCAGTGCGTGGTTGAGTGGGAGGTACCCTACTTTCATGTCATACACCAGGCAACAACCACCTTCCTCTTATATTTTTTTCCTCTTTCCCTCCCTTTCCGCTCCCCTTCCTCTCCCTTTTTCTTCCCCTTCCCCTCCCCTTTTCTTCCCCTTCCCCTCCCCTTCTGCTCCCCTTTCTCTCCCCATTCCCTCCCCTTCCACTCCACTTCCCCTCCTCGCCCCCTCTTCATTCCTTCCCCTCCATCTCTCGTCACATGCACCTGAATCTGCTCCGACCACATTCCAGGATCGAGAATGTCAAGGGGGTAACGGCTCTGCTCTCCGTTGCTGCAGCAGAGGGGGTGGACCGCTATGGGGTTAATGGGCGGAGTTGAGTGTCATGGTTGGCGAGATGATATGTGCTGAATCTGTTCTTGCGACTCGTGGGTCTATTGTGGAAACTGAGGAAATGTGGGCCTTTCAGGGGTGTGAGAGAGTGGATAGCTGATGCTGGCGATTGCAGCAGCAAGGACAGCAACAGCAGCTGCAGCACATTGTTTACTCTCATGCCTACCCTTCATCTATTGCTGCCCTTCTCTCATGCCCTTCACTCTTATCTGTGCAGACACAGCATTGTATTGAAGCTAGGTAGCCATTCGCGATTCATTGTGTTGTGAGTTGTGGTGACACAGAACGAGCTGTTGGGATCTCTGCGGATACTGCGAGATTCATGCCACGCAGAATTCTTCCTTCCAGCTTCACAGATTCAGCTCATCTCTCTGAGTTGCCTCCTCTCAATCTATGTGGAGAAAGACGCGTCCTGCGTCTAGGACGCTTGCGTCCAGACGCAGCGTCTTAGACGCAGGACGCTAGAGGAGGGTCTTTAGGACGCATGAAAAGACGCATGCCCGGGCAGGGCAAAAACAACCCCCGGGAAGCCAAAAAATGATGTTATAGGGTATGGGAAAGGGGGGGGGGAAACGACGATGCACACATTTGAGGCAAAATCGTCCCCTTTACATTTCCAGGGTTTAGGGTTTACGAAGGAGAATTGTCTTGGTAAACCCTCAGGGTGTTTTTGATGGTCGAAATGGGTTAGGGGGGGTCGACATGACGCGAAATTGAGAGTCGCGTCGAAATCGTTGAAGTCAATTTCGCGCTGAGGCAAAAAAAATAATCCGGTCAGCCCGAAAAAAAAAACGGGGTGCGTGTCTGGACGCGCGTCCTGCGTCTCTGCGTATGGACGCTGCGTCCAGACGCAGGACGCAGCAGGACGCGTGCGTCTTTCTCCACACGGCTCTCAATCATGGAAGCTGCTGCTGGGGAGGGTGGTGTGGGACGTATTGAGGGTGAGGGGCAAGGGGTGAAGTCAGCATCTGGAAATACTTGAGCCCAAGTGCGCAGCAGCATGCATCACTTCTGCCCGTTTCCCACCACTACATCACGTACCACTCAACTCAACATGACAAAATGCCCTCAGAATGGCCACTAGCAGGGCATTGTCACTCAACTACACCTTCTTGGGTTAGTGACTCAGTGATGTGGTTGTTGATACAATTATGCCTCTTCCATTCTTTTTGGGTGACATGGTTCTGCCAATATGAATCCCATTCTTTTTCAGTGACATGGTTCAATGGATTACTATATTGGAACGCATAGAATGAAGAGGATCAATCATCCAGTTTTAGATGCCAACGGAATGATCAATCATGCATATTGTAGACATGTGTCATTAGATTTTGAAGCAGTCCTTGGCAGACTATGCAATCATGGAACACTGATTTCTCTTATGTCCTGGCATTCTCTCAGTGAGAGGATCTACCGTATGCAGCCTACACCCAAATTCAGGCAGGCATGGTCTAGCAGCCTCCCTCATACACCCTCAGGCATACCTGCTACTATCCAATTGCAAGGCACCACTTCTCTTCCTCCACTCCATTGTATGCCCCACTCCACATGCATCCTCTTTTTCCTTTCATTTTCCACAATTTCTTCGCTGTCAACTCTTCCCTCAAATCACCTCGCCTGCTATCATCACTCCATGCCACCCTACCTGCCAATCCGCCTGCGTACATCATCATCCTCAAGCTTACCCCCTTCTGGCGGCCAGAGAGTTTTGAGCTTGGTCAGTGCAGACAGCTGCTTCAGCCCATCATTGGTCACTGACGTGTATTCTAGAGCAAGCTTCTCCAGCCCCGTCAGTTTCCCCAGATGTGCCACGCCGGCATCCGTTACACTCTTGCATTTAGTAAAGCATAGCCATTTGAGAGATGAAAGACCTGTCAAGTGCTGCAGGCCAGCGTCGGTCACCTTGGTCCGATGGAGATAGAGGTGTGCGAGATTGGTCAAGGACCCAATGCCTTCCAAGGCACTGTCGGAGATGCCCGTGCCATCCAGGTCCAGCAACTCCAGTTGTGGCAGCCTGTAGAGGTGCTTAATGCCCTCTGCAGTGAAGTCTGAGCTGCGCTCCAAGTCAATCTTCTTCAGTTGGGACATCGTAGACACTTGGCGGAGCATGGCGTCCGATAGGACTTCGATATTCGCTAGATCCAGACTGGTTCCTTGTGATGCTGACCCGATTCGCTGGAGGTGATGGATGAGGAGGGATAAGAAGACAAGAAAGACAAATCATTGTGACCATAGCAGCCGTAACCACAACAAACATGTTCTCTCAATCTATGCCCTGACAAACAATGCATGCCTTGTCAAACAGTTAACTCAACACTCACCTCCCACGCAGTCATGGCCATCACTTCGGCTGATTTCCAGCTCAGTGTGGCCAATTCACACCCTGCACCGATTTCCTCTTCTCCTCCACTTCCCTTGCCAACGCTGCTCCCACTTCATCAACTTTCTTTCTGGCCAAACTCATGGCTCTCTCATATACTATTCCCTTCTTCTCTCAGCCATATCCAAATGCGCCGTCATAGCATCCATTGTGTTTAACCAGCAACAATGCATGCAATGTCGAACATTTCACTCAGCACTCACCTCCGATGCAGTCTCCTGATCGTCTTCACTGCGGATGAAATTCAGTACAGCTTTCAGCGTCATGAGAGCATTCACCCAGCTCCTCTTTTCAGCCAGCTCCCCCATTGCTGAAACCATCTCCCTCACACTCTTCCCCACCTGCTCTCTCAGCTCTGCTGCTCTTCTCACAACATCTTTCATCTCCCTCCTCTCCTCCTCCTCCCTTGCCAACTCCTTTCTCATCTCATCCTCTTTCTTTCCAACCTCCTCTCCTAGCTCTATCATATCCAATTGCATTTTTATATCAGCCACATCCCATTTCTCCTTCATATCCTCCTTGTGTGCAGCCAGCTCCCCCCTCACTGCATTCACTTCGCCCTGCACTGTAGTCACCTCCTCCCTCACTGTAGTCACCTCCCCCCTCACTGCATTCACCTCGCCCTGGACTGTAGTCACCTCCCCGCTCACTGCATTCACTTCGCCCTGCATTGTAGTTGTTATAGTCACAGTAGGCTCCAATGTGCCTAAAACGAAAGATAAAGTGCACAGTCGGATTTCTGCATAGCGGCTTCAAACGCTCATATCGTTCTGGTCACAGCTTCAAATGACTTGATTCAAATTGGATCTGGAGCGTCTTATTGTCGTCTACAATAAGCAATTTAGATCGCACGATTTGACCAAGTATTGTCGACACAGCGTTGGTTTGAACGAACGGCACTATGGCAGCCACTATAGTCTTAGAACACAAGATAGGAAGAGTTAGGAAGAGTTACGAGTTGGGAATGACTCCCAGCTCCTACAAACCTCAAGAGCCGAGGTACAGTGATGTGGAACAGTGCCACACTGTCCCCAACCACGAAGGGTCTCGAAACTACCCTTCACTAGGGCCTACACCAAGTGAAATGTTACACTACACAAAGTAATGTAACTATCTTCAATATCTTGAGGTGTACCTTTTTGGCGAGTTTCGAAATCACTTGAGGCTTGACACCAAGGCTCGGGCTCTTCATCACAAACTCATCCTTGAGTTCTTGATGGGTCTGCTGCACACACCTGCGACGCACCGAACGTTCGACACAGGACAAAAAAGAAACCGCGCACGACAAAATAGAAACCGCGCGCGAGACACAAACTACCGCGTAACACGCGTCTAGCGATAACTCGCTATTGACTCAACACACACACTCGACATCATGACTCAACATTCACACACAATTATAAGCATGAAATATATATTATCCCATGCCCTCATACCATTCCATACACACACACACATGCATGCACACGGACAACAAGCCGAGTGCAAACCATAGGGTTGCACCAACAAACTCCCCCTCGGATTGTTGGCCTTAGGATATGTTGCTCTCTCAGTTCAGAGCCATCCCAGCTAGCTTGCAACACTTCCAATGCTGCTGCTCCACCAGCCTCTTGGTCATCATGTCAGCCGGCTGCCCCGTGGTCTTCACGTAGCGCAACTCAACTTCACCCGCGATTATCATGCTCCTCGTCCAATGCCACTTCACCCTCATGTGCTTCGTGAGTCCATGCAACACAGGGTTCTTAGCAAGAGCAATGGCACCCTGGCTGTCACAATACAGTGGGGTAGGTCCTTGCTGCTCCTCCTCCAATTCAGCCAACAGACGCCGCTGCCACACAATCTCCCGTACGGCACGGAAGAGTGCCATGTACTCGGACTCCACCGAGCTCAAAGCTTGGTCAACCAGCTTCTTGCTCTCCCAAGCAGTTGGGCCTCCACCAACACAGCATATGAAGCCTCCCACACTTGTCATGTCCTCTGGTTCTGATGCATATGAAGCATCCGAGTAGGCGGTGAGGTACAAACTAGTGCTCACTAGTGGTCTGCTTGTGCTCACCCAACTCCCCCTGCACTACACCCAATTCTACAGCTATCTTGTCTGCTCTCTCCTCCACCTGCCTTCTCATTTCACTAATCTCTGCCACTCGTCGCCTCTCAGCCTCCTCCAACTGCAATGCAGTTGACTGCTTGTGCTCACCCAACTCCAATTTTGCTGTGGCTAACTCAACCTTAACTGCAGCCAACTCTGCTGACATATCTCTCTCCCTCTCTTCTACCCACCCTCTCATCTCCCTCATTTCCAAAACTCCTGTTCTCTCAGTCTCCTCCGAGCCACTTTTCCTCTCCTCCAACTGCCCTTTCATCTCCCTCGCCTCCACTGCCCTCCTCCTCTCAGCCTTCTCCAACTCCCCCTTGGTTGCTGCCAACTCCCTCCTTGTCTCTTCCAGCTGCACGCCAAGCGCCCTCATCCTCATCTCGACTGACTCTTTCCACTCGCGTGTTCCAGCCATACTCGCCAGGGCAGCGCCAACGGACACACTCACTCCCTGCATCCCATGATAGGCATGCTTCCTTCGCATTGCAGCACAAAGGTGCACACGGGAGCATGCAGATGGGGTAAATGCGAGTGGATTATTGAAAAGAATTTGAGAGAAAAAAAAGCAAGGGCAAAGAATATGAGGAAGGCAAGAGCGAAAGCATATGACAACGCAAGGTGAAGATCACGAGGACGGAAGAGCGAAATGAGCTTCGGACAACCTTGGAAATGCTAGGGAATCTCCTTTTGATGCAAAATAGGAAAAAAAAGATTGAAGAAGGTTTTACAAGCTGAAGAACGTTATGATACAGGAGGGAACCATGCGTAGCAAGGGAGCAAGAGCAAGACATGGACATGTAAGGTTTAGGGAAAAGGGTAACACATGCATAAAGGAATTGGGATTGAACGATGGCAAAGTGGGGCATGCTCACATGAGGTTGTGCAGCAGAGGGAAGGAGATACGACTTGCAGAACTGGAAAACTGCAGGGGTGGAGGGCAGAGTGCATGGCATACCATGAGGCACTTGGTTGCACTCTTCAACTTCATCAGCCCAGCCGTCACAGCCAAGCCCTGCTGATGCACCCATGCTCTGACTTGCGTGTGGGTCACGCCCATCCCCCACAGTAGCGCCATAAGACTAGCGATGAGAGTGGAGACGACAGAGTACAGCAAGAGCAGATGGTTTCCACCTGAAGGCTGCAAATGAGTACACGTGGAACAGCAAGGGCACACAGAGTTATGTGTGTGAGTGCTGAAAACTGAAATTGAGAACTGAAATTGAGAACTGAATATGAGAACTGAAATTGAGAAAGGGGCTGTGCGTATGTTCCCAACTTCAAGGACCACTGAAGCAAGACGGAAATGGTTGGTTGCAGGAAAGTGGAAATTGCAGAAGCAGTGTTTAAACCAAGACGCACCAATGAGTGGAGGAAGTGAAGGGGCACGTTGAGAGTGCGGGCATGCTGAAGAGAGGAAGCGATGGTATGGGCGGGAGTGGGAGGTCTGCATGCGGCATTCTGGCACACGGCAGTGGCATTGACCCGAGAGGGAGAAAAGGACACGCACACGTACACACACCATTCATGTGCACACATACGCACGCACCCACACATGCACATCACACATGAAGAACAGAAGGAATTAGTGCGCCTGCAATGATCGTCAATCCTGCTGTCATCCGTCAGAATAAGGAAAAGAAATGCGAACGAATAAAGTATGATGATTGGAGGAAAGCACAACCCTTGCTTACAGCAAAAAGGGAAGCAGATGGAAGCGTAAGAGGGTGGTTGACTAGCTGGTTGTCACGTGGCACCTGCAAGAGACAACGTGGAGAGACCAGGTGGGTGCATGCAGAGATATGAGACAAGGCAACCACGAAAGGCACAAGAACAAGAAACATCCAACGTAGACAACATGTGCAGGCAACATGGGCTTGGCGAGGCCACGAAAGCATGGTGAAGAGTGAGCGATGAGACCCCTGCCGTAGCAGCGATGGGCAGCACAGCATGGCAAAGAGCGAGCACCATGCATGAGACCCCTGCCATAACAGGGATGCGCAGCATGGCACCACTCACGTCCTTTGCAGTGGTGAAAGGCCAGGCCTCCCTGGCACGTAGCATGATGCTGACGATGACAGCGATGGTGGGAAGGACAGCCACGAGCAGCCCTGGCAGCAGCATGGCCACTGCAGTCATCCGAGCCATGGCTGATGGGGCGAGCCCAATGCAAGGCGTGCGCCTGCACAGCACAACACAGTGAGGTTTGGCAGGAGCAGGCGAGGGAGGGGGCAGCAGCAGGAGAAGAAGACCGAATCTGTCACAGGGGGCAAGGCAACAAGGTGAGGGATGGAGAGATGGAGCACACAGGCATGCCAGATAGTGAGGCTAAGGCGAGGTGTGAGGCCTTGGAGATGAAACACAAAGACAGCGATCCAAAGTGAACATAAGAGCGGGAGGGAGGGGAACGATGGGGGGAGGAAAGGGTCAGAGCAGGACAAGAAAGAAGGGAACGGAGTAGGAGACGAAAGGAGGAGAGGGGATGGAGAAGGAGAAAGAAGGGGTGGACGACGTAGGAGACGAGAGAAGGAGAGGAGGGGAGCAGGAGAGGAGCAGGAGAGGAGAGGAGAAGCAAAAACAGATATAGAGGCACGAGCAAAATGAAAGGATAGACAGAATAGGGATACTGTTATGCGTAGCTGAAGATTGGAGTTCAGTCAACGGCAGGGGCCTATGAAAATGGTCCCCGTTAAAAATAGGAGCAGGAGGGGAGGGAGGGAGGGGGCGAAGTGTGAAAGAAGTGTTGATTGCAGGCGACAGAAGTGGCGTGGCAGTCGCACAGAGGAGCTGGTGGCAGCACTAGGACGTAAGGGGAGGTGCGAGGAAAGGTTGAGATAGGCGAGGAGCAAGCTGCATGTGATAACCAACGAGGAGACCAACTCAGGTCAGGCGAGGAGCAAGACACCGCATCTGTTACTCTGGTAAACGCTTAGAGCAGGCTGGTGGACGGCGCGAGCAAGAGGGCGCATCCGGAGTGAGACGGTAAGCACAGCAGAGGGGCGTACCTGGCGATAAGCCAAGTGGCAGCTGCAAGTGAGGAGCTTCACCCGAGGGCGCCCAGCGCGAGAACAGTGACGCGAAGCGGCAAGTGGCCGCACCGAGGTTCCAGAGGCACGGTAGGCAGTGAAGAGGAGAGGAATGGAGGGAGGGCTCTAAAGAGGGAGGGTACATTGATAAGAAAGAGTAAGCTCTCAAGATGAAGGCTAGGACGCGGAGAGGAAGGAAATGAATCGACGCCGTGCAGTTAGAGCTGGCAATGAAGAGAAGGGTGCAAGAGACGGGCATGAGGAAGGAAGAGAATGGGGAGCGGAGGAGGAGGATGTGTGCGATGCGCGCATTGCTGCCAATGCGCCACTCGCCTTGCTATATCACCCATCTCGGGTCGCCTTTCTCAGTCACTTCGTTTTCACGCAAGACCGAATCGCGTTCACCTAGCAAGCTATGCCGCAATAAAGCACGAATGGCGGCATGCATACTGGACCCCTTCTGCACGTCGCCACGTGGCGGAAAGAGCACGCTACCCTCCCTTGCGCCCAAATCCATCCCGCCGTGCATGTCTTCGTTCAGCCGTGTTCGCACCGCCAAAAACGAGACGCTTCGCATTTCATGCACGGGTTCATGGAATAAGTCGCCCATAACTCTTCTGGACGTTTCGCCCATTACTATTCACGACATTCGCTGGCGTTCGCTTTCGCGACCGCAGAGAAGCACTCTGGGGGTAGGAATGTAGCCAGTGCGTTCTTGCGCCGGGGACCTGGTCGCAGCATCGTGAGGCTGAGGATGTACGACTATCAAATCCGACGGTTAAGATTTGAGGACTTATCTAGAATTCCCAAATCCGCCTCCTCGCTTTGAGTTGAGATGGGCGTGAGTGGGAAAGGGAGGCATGAAGGGGATGGAGGCGGGAGAGGAGTCGGGATATGGATGCGCGAACTTCAATCAAGGTGACTGCTTTCGTCAAGCACGTGTAACTTCAATAATCGTTTCAGATTCTCTCGTTACTGCCCAATCTGTTACAGTCGTGAGGCACATCTCATTTCGTCAACAAAGCTGTTTCCGGGTTGCCTTGTTGGGTGCACGATATCGAACCTAACAAGGCCATTTGAAGCCGTTATCGAATTCGCAAAACTCCCCACTTCGCTGAACCCGTCAGATCCTCGCTACCCAAACAGCTGGACTGCTAATCTTTATCGGACAGCCGTTAGGGCGTATCCAGGTTCGGGTCATGAGCACTGTTCTGGCTACTGTTTGGGTCATGCGGAATTTGCGCATGACCCGAAGTGGGCTGCGGAGCCGCGCGTTGCCCCAGCTTTGGGTCAATGTGTAGGTGTTGTGCGACTAACGTGCACGACCCACCCACAGCCAATCACCTGGTTGCACGATTGTGGTGTTACTGCCAACTTTTTGTCGATCGGCAGTCGAGTGTCACACGTGGGCAATTTCCCACGTCTTACACCTCTGCACCCAACCACTCGACAAATCGACCCCGAGTGTGTTTAAAATTTCTCCGTCGCGCTCCCAACATTTGGGAATTCGCTCAGGGAATTTTGGGGGTTGTAATTTCTCAGCGAGTGTCACATGGTTTTGCGTGGGTCTTGCTAATGACCTTTCGAAATGTTCGGGCATCCCACCATTGGATGCGACTGTTGTTGTGAGCTGGATTTTGGCGCGAAAACCCTCGCGGCAATATTGTGGTCGCATGATCCAGACATGCGTTCTATGTTGTTTGGGTCATCCGCAAATCGCGCATGCCCGAAACAGTGCTCATGACCCGAACCTGGATACGCCCTTAGTTGCCACGTGTTGCGAGAAAGCATGCAAGCCAATGCTTTGAACGATGCGAGTTTATCCGAGTAACTTGGATTTCGCTCTCGCCAGTCTCCCATAGCGCGCCGTGAACTCGATGTCGCTGTGTTGTTGCATTGCTGTGCGAACACAGTGGCGCTCAGTACATGTGCAGGCTTCCACTTCACATTGCCGATTTCTTCAATCCAGATCTGGGTTCTCGTCCCGCATCCATGGCGTCTTTTGAGCAAACGCTAGCAGAAACGTCAGACCAGGCCATGGCTGACGCTTTTGATCAGGAAGCACCACACCAATCCGACGGTGATCCTTTCTGTGCGTTCTCTGACAATCTGCTGGGCGCCGTGCTACTGCGCGTGGCGTGCAACGGCGTCAAATTCGGCGGCCAGGATTCTCCTATGAGTGACGAGGACGAAGCCGATACGGAAACGAAGATCGACAAGGCCCTAATCGAGCTGCTCCCCTCTGAGAGCGCGTGGCTCGCCGGCAATCCCGAGGCTCCCGGCGAGGCCACGAGCGCTCGTTCTTCCAGCGTGAAGTGCTCGTCGTCGCTGATCTCGTTCCGCCACGCGCTCGTCTGCAAGCGCTGGTTGCGCGTCGCCCGGTTCGTGCTTCCCGCCATCGTCGTTCCGCTTGATCGCTTCTTCTCCGCGCGCGCCCTTGCCTCCCTCCTCCGCGCGCCCGCCATCGCGGGGTTCCCCAACCTGCGCCACCTGCACCTCGCGCCCAATGCGCTGGACACCGTCGATTCCGCGCTCGTGCGCGCCATCTGCGCCGGATCTGGGCCGTCCTTAACGCATCTCTCGCTGCAGCTGCATGACACGTGGCTGCACGTGACGCGCGCGCGACAGTACCCTCCTCCCGGGATCGGCACGCAGGCGGCGGAAGCGGCGCTAGCGGCCAGGGCGATCTCGTCGGCCGATGTCGCCACCTTGTTCTGGTCTTGCACGCAATTGGTCAGTCTTGCCTTAAACTTCGGGAAAGGGATTTCCGAGGTTCCCTCGGCCGTCAGCTGCCTGCAGCAGCTCACGAAGCTCAGCATGTCCTTCCGCGAAGCTGTTATCACGTTACCGTCCGAGTTCGGCAGTTTGGTGCGACTGAAGCGGTTGCAGATAATTTCGTCTTCCCTCGTGCTGCCCGATTCCTTCTGCGAGCTGCCCGCCCTAGAGCACCTCCAATTCCGCCGCTGCGATATTTCTTACTCACCCAGCGGCTTCGGGCAGCTCCGAAACCTCAAGATCCTCAGTCTCCAGCGACTAGCGCAGCTCGTCGAGCTGCCCGCCTCCATCTGCCTCCTCTCTGCGCTTACCAGCCTGACCCTCTTTCAGTGTTACAAGCTCGCCAAACTGCCCGAAAACTTTCACCAGCTGGCGAATTTGCGCACTTTGCACCTAGAAGAACTGATTGCCCTCACTGCTCTCCCAGTCTCCTTAGGTCAGCTGCCCGCACTGCTTGAGCTGAAAATCCTAGACAACGGTCGCATCACACACCTCCCACCATCTCTCTCCGCCAGCCGCACACTCGAGCGCCTCTCTCTCCACAACTGCCAACGACGATGCTATCGGCCACATTCCGACTCTAGAACGCGTCGACCTCAGCTTTCTCAACACCCTCCTGTCGCTTCCAGCCTCCCTGGGTCGCGCCTCTCGCCTCCAGGAGCTCAGAATCGTCGCCTGCACCCTGCTTGACGCTCTCCCGCACTCGGTCTCCGCCATGTGCTCCCTCGCGCGCCTTACTCTCGAGGGCTGCGCTGCGCGGGCGCTGCCCGAGGATGTCGGGCAGCTGTCGAATTTGGTCCGGCTGAAGCTATCATGCGAGCGACTGACTGCCCTGCCCAGGTCGTTCGGGCAGCTGGGGAAGCTGCAGAAGCTTCGGCTCCATGCCTACTACGGGTTAGTCCAGCTGCCCGAATGTTTGGCGAACCTTTCGTCACTTGAAACCCTAGCCATCTACGGGGGAACGTCGCTCGTCTCCCTGCCGCCCAACTTTGAGCAGCTCCCGCAGCTGCGGCGCCTGGAGTTGTTCAAGTGCGCCATCCAGAGACTGCCGGAGAGGTTCGGGCAGCTGCTGAAGCTGGAGTTTTTCAAGGTGGGAAGCACGGACTCTTTCACGAGAAAGGATTCAGAGCCAGGGCAGCCCGCGTGGCCGCCTCCGACCGCGCTCACAGTGAGCGCGCAAGAGGAATCGGCCTCAATGTTCATGCTGATGGACGAACCGCTCCTGCTGGACCAGCTGGATGAATCGCTCTTGGGGCGCTGCCTGCTGCACAGCTTCCCAATGTCCTTCACCCAGCTCACCAGCCTGCAGCAGCTGGTCATCGACGGGTGTGACGCGCTGGAGGGCCTGCCAGATGGGCTGGGTGACATGGCAGGGCTGCAAGTGCTGCAAGTCAAGAACTGCCCGCAGCTGCGCTGCTTTATGTCCCTCCTGCCCTTTCCTCCTCCTACCTCCACCTCTGCACGTCCGGCCCCTCCGCTCCCAATGCTTCACAGCCTGGTGATCTCCAACTGTCCGAGTCTAACGAGCCTTCCACGCGGCCTTGATGCCCTGCCGAGGCTGAAGCGAGTCACCCTGGATAAGTGCAGCAAGCTGGGCTTTGCGAACCAACTCTCCGTGTACCATCGCCCCTCCTCAACCCCACATGCTGCACCCATCGCCCTCCCGCCCTCCGTCACCACCGTCTCCCTGCTTGACGTCTTCCCTGTAGCACGCTACCTGCCAGACTCCTTCCTCACCCTCTCGCGCCTCACTCATCTCAACCTGCACCATTTCAACTCTCTACAAGCGCTCTTTGCGCCTCGCCCACATAGTGCCCAGGCTGCAACTGTCCTTGGAGAGATGGATCTCGGCTCTGAAGCCGGTCAGGTTTATTGTTTCCCAGTTGATCCTCAACCCGGTCAGCCGGGGAGATTGGCGCTGCTCTCGTCTCTACAGCACTTGGCAATCGTGAATACGCGCCTGCCGTTGCTGCCGAGTAACCACAGCGACCTCCAAAGCCTCAAGGTGCTCATTCTTGAGGGGTGCATTCGCATGCCCTCCCTCCCTGACTCCCTACCTCACCTCTCCAACCTCGAAAAACTCGTTCTGAGCACCCTTCCTAGGCTGGCGCGCCTGCCCAAGAATCTTGGGCAGCTGAAAGCACTGAAAGAGCTCACTGTGGAGGCGTGTGATGCGCTGACGGGGCTGCCCGCGTCTATCGGCCTCTTCTCCTCCCTCGTCCTCCTCTCTGTCATCGAGTGCGAGAAGTTCTCCTCTGTCCCCGACTCCATCGGCTCCCTCCCTCGCCTCGCCTCCCTCAAGCTTAATGGTCTCTTCCGCCTGCGCCGCCTGCCAGAGTCCATCTCTCGCCTCCCCGCTCTGTGATCCTCTCCCTGGAATATTGTGAGGAGCTGCAGGCGCTGCCGGAGGGGCTGGCTGGTATGGAGACTTTTGTTGGGCTGAAATGCCCCTTAGGATCTTTGATAGGATGAAACTCTAGGTAAAGTGATGTAATAGCGGCAGCGTTTAAGAGACGATTCTGAACCACCTTGCGCTAGTATGTGAGGGCAAAGTAAGTTGATTAAAGCAAAGAGATACAGGATTATATAAGGGTACAAGGAATACGAAGAGATACGGTTGTAACTGCTTTTACTGTTGCTGTTGCGGTTTGATACAGTGACGACTCGGGCAACTGCTCAGTATCGAGTCAGTTGTGTGTCCTTGCTGTCGCGCTGTATTTGTCAAGTCAAAGGTCGCTGACCTTTGACCTTCGCGTAACCTCCAGCGGTTACTTCAACCTCCGAGGGTTGACTCGCTGGTGCCTCGATATGATTTGCTTCGCTTGTGCCTTGGTGTTTCGACACGATAGAAGCGCTTTAGGACCGATTGTTTCCAACACTCCCCTTCGCTTCTGGAGTGTCGCTGACGTGGCCTTGTCCAGTCAGCAACATGCAGTATTCGAACTTCTGATTTCCGAGTTTCTTGGTCAGGTAGTCAGCTGCCATCTCGGACGTGGGACAGTATGACAGGGCGAGTCTTGTGAAAGTAGGTGAGGAGTAGAAGCCATAGCTAGGACTAACCTAGCTAGGCAAGGAAGAATTTAGGCAAAGAGGGTTTGTACTAGCAAGCAAGGGGATACATATATGAAACCCTAAGGGGTTATACTCGCTATAGAGTACCCCACTGCAGGCTAGATAACAAATATAACATTCTGACACACCCCCATAGCCAAAGTGGGGTGTAATCAGTAGAGCAAACAAAACAGAACAAGCTCAGGGTGGATCACAATGTCACCACACAGTCTGAGCACAAGTTCAAGAAGTAGTAGTATAAAGTTCACAGTTATAAGCAAAGCTAGAGGTAGTCACAACGGGCAAGTGAGGAGGAGAGAGAGTGAGAGGAGAGGAGATAGGAGGCAACGGATGAAGCTGCAGACACACGAGCAACAGGAGGCAGACTGGCACAGCGGCTACCGGACGAAGTCCCCGGAATACAGGAGTAACTGGCCCCGCGGCTAAAGTAGCGGCAGACGAGCAACGGACCCACGGGCGGCTGGCACAGCTGGCTACGACTGGGCTACCGGACGAAGTCCCCGGACTACAGGTGCTGCTAGCGACACAACGGCAACCTCCATTCAGCTTCCCCAAACTGTCCTACTCCCCCTGGCACACACCCACTGCTACACCGCTAGCTCCACTCCCCCTTCACCCCCCCTTAGCATCACTCCACCGGCTCCACCACAACCACCCCCCCCCTCAGCGGCAGCTGCAGCACAAGGAGACGGAGGAGGAGGAGGAGCAGGGAGCAGTACTGAGTAAGGTCACCCCCATACCCCTCACCCCCAAACCCTAATATAGGAGAATGGGGAGTAGAAGGGGTGGGGCGGCCGTAGTAACACTGGGGGACAGCGGGGAGGGAAGGGACAGGTAAGAACGGGCCCACCACGGGCCTGATAGGGACGCCCGAGCAGCGCGCATGCGGCCCGAGCCGCGCGCGGGTCTGGCGCCTCCCGTACGGGCCGCGCGTCGGCTTGGCGCAGCCCGTATGGGCAGCGCGCGGCTCTGGCGCAGTCCATACGGGCCGCGCGCTGCTTGTACGGGCCGCACAGAGGCCACGACGGGCGACGGGGGGCGACGCGGAGGTCCCCGTCGCCCGTCACAGCGTCTCCCGGGGGCGGCGCATGGCGTGACGGGGCAGTAACCCGCCGCGCGCCTCGGGGCGCACGGCGGGAAGAGAAACGCTGCGCGCCTTGGGGCGCACGGCGGGTAGAAAAATCGCCGCGCGCCTCGGGACGCACGGCAGAAAGGGAGAGGAGTGGTTGCAGCGGAAGGTTTGTGGTGAGGCCCACAGGCCAGGAGCTTACTGCTCTGATCACCATGTGAAAGTAGGTGAGGAGTAGAAGCCATAGCTAGGACTAACCTAGCTAGGCAAGGAAGAATTTAGGCAAAGAGGGTTTGTACTAGCAAGCAAGGGGATACATATATGAAACCCTAAGGGGTTATACTCGCTATAGAGTACCCCACTGCAGGCTAGATAACAAATATAACATTCTGACAAGTCTTCCCTTCTCGATCTCGTCCTTGACGAAAAAATATCGCAGGGCGATGTGTTTCGTCCTGTTCGCGAAGCCGTTCTTGTTGGCGATGCGGATTGCAGATTGGTTGTCGCAGAAAAGGGTGAAGTTGGGTAACTCGGCTAACTTCGCCTCTTCTAGCAGTTCGCGAAGGTAGAGTCCTTCCTTGGTGGCTGAGCAGAGTGCAATGTATTCTGCTTCAGCTGATGAGAGAGCAATTAGTTCTTGCTTACTCGATTGCCAGGAGATAGGCCCGATAGGCTCGAAGCGGTAGATATAGCCGGTGCGCGATCGTCTGTTGTCGGAGTCGCCCGCGTGATCTGCGTCGACGTAACCGATTAGTTTAGGTGATGCAGTTGCGTTCTCATGGTAGGTCAGGCCGACCGCCGGAGTGCTGACGAATTAGTGGAGAGCGCGATCGAGTTCCGCCAGATGCTCTGCTGCAGGCCTTTTGAGGTATGTAGCGAGCTGGCTTGCGGAATATGAGAGATCGGGACGACAGGTGACAGCTGCGAAGAGTAGACATCCCAGCTTCTTCTGGTAGTCTCGTATGCCGGCGGGTTTAAGTAGAGCGGAGTCTCCTTTGTCGTTCCCTGCCGTGTAGCGGTATGGCGTGGAAATGGCTGCTGGTGTGATCGTAAAGCGTTTGGCGATAGCGTCGGCGTATTTTTCGGCGCTGAGGTAGATCGCGTCCTTTTCTTCGCGGATGTTGAGGCCGAGATACTGAGTGACGGTAGATGAGACTATGAGTGTGCGATCTCGCTGCAGCTCCCCTTCAAACCAGGTGGTTATGCTATCAGTCGAGCCGATGTAGAGAAGATCATCCACGTAGACGATTAGCAGAATGTAGTCTTCGTCTTTAGTGAGCCGGTACATGCCTTGATCGTGCGGTAGTTGCTTGAAGCCGATGCGGATGAGGCGAGCGTGCAGGTGCTGTTGCCACAGTCGCGGGGCCTGCTTGATGCCGTAGAGTGACTTGAGTAGCTGGCAAACTTGGTTGGGTTCTCCGTGGGAGCTGTGTGGTAACTCGACGAAGATTTCGGCATCAACAGGTGCGTAGAGGAATGCGTTGGCAACGTCGATTTGTCGCAGCTTCTTTTTCTTCATGGCGGCGATCGCGAGGATGATTCGAAGTGAGGTATGTCGGCTAACCGGGGCGAATGTCTCGGTGAAGTCCCGTCCTGTCAGAACATTATAGCTTGCTTATTTGTGTAGGCTATAGTGGGGTATCCCATAGGGGGTACAACCCAATTAGGGTTTCCTATTTGTACTCACTTTGTTCATAGTCATTTCATTCTCATTCTATTTTTCTCATGGTATCAGAGCGAGTTCCCCTGTAGGAACTGTGCTTAGGGCCCACCACTACTTCGAACTTTTTTTTACCTGGAGCGCGCTCCGAGCTCTCTCTCTTACCTCTGTCACCGGCCCTTAGCCGCCCGCACGCCGCTTGTTCAGGCCTCACGCCGCCAGCGCGCCGCCCTAGACGCTAGCGCGCCGCCCGTCCAGGCCCCGTGCAGCCCGCGCGTCGCCCCTAGCAGCCCGCGCGCCGCCCTTAGCAGCCCGCGCGCCGCCCTAAGCAGCCCGCCCGCCGCCCTAAGCAGACGGCGCGCCACCCTAAGCAGCCCGCGCGCCGCCCTAAGCAGCCCGCGCGCCGCTCGCCAGGCCCCAGGCCGCCCACGCGCCGTCCGCGCGCCGCCCTTAGCCGCCCGCGCGCCGCCCGCCAGGCCTCAGGCCGCCCACGCTCCGCCCGCGCGCTGCCCTTAACCGCCCACGTGCCGCCCGTGCGCCGCCCTTAGCCGCCCGAAGCGCCGCGCGTGATCCGCCCGTGAGCCGCCCGTGCGCCGCCCGTGAGCCGCTCGTGAGCCACCCGTAAGCCGCCCGTAAGCCGCCCGTGAGCCGCCCGTGAGCCACCCGTCAGCCGCCCGTGAGCCGCCCGTGAGCCGCCCGTGAGCCGTCTGTCCCAGCCCCGAGCCACCCGTGAACCGCCCGTGAGCCGCCTGTGCGCCGCCCGTGAGCCGCCCGTCCCGGCCCCGAGCCACCCGTGAGCCGCCCACCCCGGTCCCGCTCCCAGCCGCCCTCGCGCCACGCTGTCCCGGCCCTTCGACGCCCGAGCCGCCCGTGCCACCCGCGTCACCCGAGCCGCCCAAGCCGCCTACGCAGCTGAGGAGCCGAGCCGCCCGAGCCACCTTTGCCGCCCGAGCCGCCTGTACCGCCGAGCGCCCGAGCCACCCGAGCCGCTCGAGCCGACCGAGCCGCGCGAGCCGCCTGAGGAGCCGAGCAGCTGGTCCTGTGGGGCTGCTGTTGCTACTGGGCCGGCAGAGCTGCTGTGTTGCCGTGTTGCTGTGCTGCTGAGCTGCCCGACCCGTCCTGTCTGGTGAGCACAGCTCCACTGCTACTGCGTGCCCCTTCCCGCACTGCTTGCACTGCTAGTCTGTCGTCATGGCTACCCCTAGTGTCCTAGCTTTTGACGCTGAGGGTCGCGCCATTGACTTTGAGGTCTGGGTCGACGACCTGCAGCTGTTCTTACAGTGCGATAGGGCAGACGGTCTTTCTCTCTTTGACCTCACCTCTAGCGCCGTCCCTGCCCCTGCTGCTGATGCTGACGCCACTGTTCGCTCACGGTGGGCCACGCGCGATGCTGCTGCACGTCTTGCTGTGCGTCGCCACCTGCCTACCGCTGAGCGCGCGCACTTTAGCCAGTACAAGAGTGCCCGGACCTTGTACGACGCTGTAGTTGCGCGCTACTCCTCCCCTGCCATTGCTGCACTGAGCCGCCTCATGCTCCCCTTCCTCTTCCCTAACCTTGCCGCCTTTCCCACTGTTGCTGATCTCATTACGCACCTCCGCACTAGTGACACTCGCTACCGCGCTGCGCTTCCTGCTGACTTCTGCGCCAAGAACCCCCCCCCCATGTACATCACTCTCTACTTTTTAGTCACTCGCCTCCCTGACTCCCTTCGTGTAGTCCGGGACCACTTCCTCGCGGTCTGTCCCACCACCCTCACAGTCGACAGCCTCGAGAAGGCCCTCCTAGCGGCGGAGAAGAGCATAGTCGCTGTAGGAGCCTCTCGAGGTGACCCCCGCGCCCCCATCTTTGAGGGGTGTTCTCCTTCCCCTCTCCTGCCCTCTGTCGCCTCTGCCGCTGCGGCCGACCTCGTTGGTCTTGAGTCGGTCGGTGCGGCGTCTGCCCCTAGCGGGAGACGCCGCTCTGGCAAGGGCAAGGGGGGCAAGGGAGCGGGTGGGGCCAGCGGGGGCGGTGGAGGTGGAGGTGGAGGCGGTGGAGGTGGTGGCGGGGGTGGGGGTGCTAGTGGCGGCAGTGGAGGCGGGGGTAGCAGCGGCGGTGGTGGTGGGAGCGGAGGTGGCGGAGGCGGCGGCGGTGGAGGCGGAGGCGGGGGCGGTGGAGGCGGAGGCGGGGGTGGCGGTGGTGGAGGTGGTCGGAGTGGCACTTCGCAGCGGAGCAGCACTGGGGGTGGTCAGCGCCAGCAGCAGCGTTCTCGCGACGTCCCCACCCCTCAGCAACTCCGTGAGTGGTACACGCAGCGTCAGCGTGGTGGGGGTTTTGGTCCCTGCACCTACGTTCTTCGCACTGGCGACCGTGCTGGAGAGCAGTGTGGGGGTACCCACACCGCCCAGCGCTGCTTTGGCCGCCTGACGGACGCTTGGCGCCAGCAGTTCCCGGAGGCCGCGGAGATCCCCCGCTGGGGAGAGCTGTCTAGGGCTGGTGTAGCTATCTTTGATCTTGACTTTGATGCTATCCTTGCTGCCATGTATGCTGTGACCATTAGTGATGAGGGTGACTGTTACCGGTGTCTCCAGCCCGACCCGGGCATTGGTACTGCTGCTCTAGGTGCCAGCGAGGCTTCTGCTCTAGGTGCCAGTGCGTCTGTGCTCTCAGGTACTGGTGAGGCTGCTCTCTCAGGTACTAGTGAGTCTGCGCTCTCAGGTACTGCGTCCGCTTCGGCCTCCCACACCTTCACCCTTGACTCTGGAGCCTCTCGCTCCTTCTTTCGGGACCGCACCACACTCACGCCGCTTAGTCGGCCGGTTGCGGTGTCCCTGGCTGACCCCTCTGGGGGTCCTGTTCTGTCTTGCTTCTCCACAGTCCTCCCGTGTCCGGCGGCTCCCTCTAGCACCCTGTCTGGTCTCTACCTCCCCTCGTTCTCTACGAACTTGGTGAGTGGTGCTGACCTACAGGATGCGGGAGTCCACCAGTTCACCCCTGCTCGTCAGCGGGTGACGCACTCCACATAGGCTAGCACAGGTCGTCACCTGGCTACGTTTACACGTCAGCCAGGGTCGAGCCTGTACAGGTCTGGTCCTGAGTCTGCCCCCTGTTCGTGTCGTCGCCTGTCTCACGAGACTCTCCTCTGGCACCACCGCCTGGGTCACCCCTCTCTGCTTCGGCTCAGAGGCATGGCCTCCCGTCTTCTTGTGTCTGGTCTTCCCCGGTCCCTCCCTCCCCTTCCTCAGGGCCCTGGCCCTGCCTGTGTCCCCTGTGTTGAGGGGCGCCAGCGTGCTGCCCCTCACTCCTCCCAGTTTCCTCCGACAGAGGCTCCGTTGCAGACGCTTCACATGGACGTGTGGGGCCCTGCCCGCGTCCGTGGACTCGGTCACGAGCGCTACTTCCTATTGGTGGTTGACGATTACTCGCGTTACACCACAATCTTCCCCTTGCGCAGCAAGGGTGATGTCACTGAGGTGCTGATCGACTGGATCCGCGCAGCTCGTCTCCAGCTCAGGCAGAGCTTTGGCTCGGACTTTCCTGTGTTGCGTCTGCACTCGGACAGGGGCGGAGAGTTCTCCTCTGGCCTTCTGCGTGCCTACTGTCGTGCGCGAGGCATCCGTCAGACCTTCACGCTTTCGGACTCACTGCAGCAAAATGGGATTGCAGAGCGCCGCATTGGCATGGTCATGGACGTCGCTCGTACGTCCATGATGCATGCGGCTGCCCCCCATTTTCTGTGGCCGCTTGCGGTCAGGTACGCGGCGCATCAGATCAACCTCCACCCCAGGGTCTCCAGGCCGGAGACCTCCCCAGCCCTGCTGTGGACGGGGAAGGTTGGCGATGCGTCAGCGTTCAAGGTCTGGGGATCTCGGGCGTTTGTCCGTGACTTGTCTGCGGACAAGCTGTCCCCTCGCGCTGCTCCCTGCGTCTTCCTGGGGTTCCCCCCTGACGCCCTTGGGTGGCAGTTCTACCACCCCACCTCTCGCCGTGATCTGTCCTCCCAGGACGTCACGTTCGACGAGTCGGTACCCTACTACCGCCTCTTCCCCTACCGCACTCCGTCCCTCCCCCCACCTCCGCTCTTCTTGGTACCAGGTCCCCCCCCGGTCGACCCCCTTCCCCCTCAGGGTCCAGCCCCTTCAGGTGTGTCCCAGGTAGACGCGGTCGAGCCTGTCGAGGTCACTGGTGACTCTGGTGCTGCTGTGGGTGCTGAGCCTAGGGGTGCTGTGACTGGGGGTGTTGTCCCTGGGGGTGCTGAGTCTGGGGGTGCTGAGCCTGGGGGTGTTGAGCCTGGGGGTGCTGAGCATGGGGGTGCTGAGCCTGGGGGTGCTGAGCCTGGGGGTGCTGTGCCTGGGGGTGCTAAGCCTGGGGGTGCTCAGCCTGGGGGTACTGAGACTGGAGGTTCTACGCGTGGAGGTGCTTTGCCTGAGGGTTCTTCGCCTGGAGGTTCTCCGGGTGCTTCGTCTCGCCGAGAGCCACTCTCCCCGCAGGAGTTGCGTGAGTGGTTTGCCCGGCGCTGGAGGCGTGCTGCTGGTGCTGGAGGTTCTTTGGCTGCTGAGGGTGCTGCTGCCGAGCGTCCCGGAGGTGCTCGTACTGGGAGTACTGGAGCTGCTGGGCCTGCGGGTTCTACTGGAGCTGGTGCTGCTAATCGTGTTGGCGCTGAGACTACTGCTTGCGGTCCGGCTGGCAGTGCTCCTGGTGCTGCTGGAGGTTTTGGTGCTGCTGGGGGTTTTGAGCTACTGGAGGTGCTACTGGAGGTGTCACAGGAGGTGCTACTGGGGGTTCTGGAGCTACTAGAGGTGCTGCTGGAGGTGCTACTGGAGCGGGTACTCCTGCTGGGGGTACTGGTGCTGTCCCTGCTGTTTCTGGCGTCGCCTCGCGGCCGAGACCGTACTTAGTTCCCCTCCTGCAGCAGGTTCTTGGTCTTACACCTTCTCCTGGTCCTTCTCCTCCTCCCTTAGAGGGTCCACAGCCTGTCCAGTCACAGTCACAGCTACAACCTGCCTCCCCTTTGCCTGCTCCTTCTCCCTACGCTGGTCCGACTGGAGGTCTTACTGAGCGTCGTGAGCCTGCGTCTCGTCCTGCGTCGCCTGTTCGTACTGCGCGCACTAGTGGTCGCGGTTCGCGTCAGCGTCCTCCTCCTGTCCCTGGCATGCACCGGATGTCTCTGCGTCCGTCTACTGCTCCTCTGCGTGCCCCTTTGCCTTCTCCTCCTGCTTCCTCTCTTCCTGCTCTTGCCGACCTAGAGTCGGACTCTCTTCGTGCTGCCAGTCCTACTGTCACGCGTCTCCTTGCTACTGCCGTCACTGACCCTTCTTTCGAGTCTTCTGCTGCGTCTGCCCTTGTCACTGAGCTCGTCGACTTTGCTGCGCGCTGTCGTCTAGACTACGCTGCTAGTCTTGTCGCTGAGTCTGAGTCTACCTGTCCTCCGTCCGTCGGGGGTGAGTGTGCCCTTGGCACGGACGTCCTTGAGGACAGGCAGGAGGAGTTCCAGTGTCTGGCCGCTGCTTCACCTCATCTCGCATCTGTACTGCTCGCCCCTGAGGGAGACCCGGATGCACTAGACATCCCGACTCCGCGCTCTTACGCGGAGGCGGTAGAGGGTCCCTACTCCTCTCAGTGGCAGGCAGCTATGGATGCAGAGATGGCTTCCTGGAAGTCCACAGGCACCTACGTTGACGCTGTTCCCCCTCCAGGGGCGAACATAGTCAGTGGCATGTGGATCTTCAGGGTGAAGCGGCCGCCGGGTTCTCCGCTTGTCTTCAAGGCGCGTTACGTGGTTCGTGGCATCAATCAGCGGCATGGAGTTGACTACTTTCAGACCTTCTCTCCCACCCCGAAGATGACCACTCTTCGGGTACTGCTGCACGTTGCTGCTCACCGTGACTACGAGCTGCACTCTCTCGACTTCAGCACTGCTTTCTTGCAGGGCAGCCTGCACGAGGAGATCTGGCTGCGTCGCCCACCTGGCTTCACTGGGTCTTTCCCTCCTGGTACCCAGTGGAGTCTCCGGCGTCCAGTCTACGAACTCCGCCAGGCGCCACGTGAGTGGCATGACACACTGAGGACTACGCTGGCGGCACTTGGGTTTGCTCCTTCTACTGCCGACCCGTCGCTGTTTCTGCGCACCGACACCTCTCTGCCCCCGTTCTACATCCTCGTGTACGTCGAAGACTTGGTCTTTGCCACAGCTGACACTGCTGGACTCGCCTACGTGAAGTCCGAGCTGCAGAAGAGACACACGTGCACTGACCAGGGTGAACTACGCAGCTACCTTGGCTTGCAGATCACCCGGGACAGAGCACGCCGCACCATTACCCTGACTCAGTCACACATGGTGCAGCAGGTCCTTCAGCGCTTTGCCTACACGTACTCCTCGCCTCAGGCCACTCCTCTGCCTACTCGCCACTCGCTCTCAGCGCTGCCTTGGGATGAGTCCGTAGAGTCGAGTGGCCCGTATGCAGAGCTTGTTGGCTGCCTCATGTACCTGATGACCTGCACACGACCTGACCTTGCATACCCTCTTAGCATTCTTGCACGCTATGTTTCTCCTGGGAGACACAGACCAGAGCACATGGCTGCAGCGAAGAGGGTGTTGCGCTATTTGTGCAGTACGTCAGGCATGGGGCTAGTGCTTGGAGGGCGGAGTCCAGTGGTCCTCACTGGGCATGCGGACGCTTCTTGGGCTGACGACCAGGCTACGCAGCGGTCGTCACAGGGTTACACCTTCAGCCTTGGTTCCGACTCTGTTTCGTGGCGGGCTACCCGCTCGTCTTCTGTCCTCGGCTCCAGTTGTGAGGCTGAGATCTACGCCGGGGCTATGGCTGCCTTGGAGCTTCGCTGGCTCACCTACCTGTCAGAACATATCTATAGCTTATACTGCTGTGTAGGCTGTAGTGGGGTATCCCATAGGGGGTACAACCCAGTTAGGGTTTCATATTTGTACTGCTTTCATTCATAGTCCACTCATTCCTGTTTTCCTACTTTCACATGGTATAGAGCGGGTCCTACCTTAGGACCGTTGTCTGGGCCCACCGACGCGCGCCCCGAGGCGCGCCCTTTTTTTAGCGACCCCTCGGGTCGCCTTTTCACTCGCGGCCCCGCCGCCTCCTCTGACGCGGCTTTGCCGCCTCCCCTGACGTGGCCCCGCCGCCTCCTTTAACGCGGCCCCGCCGCCTCCCTTGACGCGGCCCCGCCGCCTCCCTTGACGCGGCCTCGCCGCTTCCCCTGACGCGGCCCCGCCGCCTCCCCTGACGCGGCCCTGCCGCCTCCCTTGACGCGGCCCCGCCGCCTCCCTTGACGCGGCCCCGCCGCCTCCCCTGACGCGGCCCCGCCGCCTCCCCTGCCGAGGCCCCGCCGCCTCCCCTGACGCGACTCCGCCGCCTCCCCTGACGCGGCCCCGCCGCCTCCATTGACGCGGCCCCGCCGCCTCCCCTGACGCGGCCAAGCCGCCTCCTCTGACGCGGCTCCGCCTCTACTGCCGACGGCCCCGCCGCTGCACTCTACGGCCCGCCGCTGCACCCTGCCGGCCCGTCGCTGCTCCTGCCGGCCCGCCGCTGCACCCTGCCGGCCCGCCGCTGCTCCTGCCGGCTCGCCGCTGCACCTACCGGCCCGCCGCTGCACCCATCGGCCCGCCGCCTCTTACGGCCCGCCACTTGCACCTGCCGGCCCGCCGCTGCACCTGCCGGCCCGACGCTGCACCTGCCGGCCCGACGCTGCATCTCCCGGCCGAGCCGCCCCAACAGCCGAGCCGCCAGGGACCCGAGCCGCCCTGCCGCCGAGCCGCCCGGGAGCCGAGCCGCCCTGCACCCGAGCCGCCCAGCCGCCGAGCCGCCCGGGAGCCGAGCCGCCCTGCACCCTAGCTGCCCAGCCGCCGAGCCGCCCGGGAGCCGAGCCGCCCTGCGCCCGAGCCGCCCAGCCGCCGAGCCGCCCGGGAGCCGAGCAGCTGTGCACCCGAGCCGCCCGGTCGCTGAGCCGCCTTTCTGCTGACTGCACGACCTGCCCTGCCTGGTGAGCACTGTCCCACTGACACTGCGAGCTCTTTCCCTACTGCTTGCACTGCGTCGCTGTCGTCACCATGGCTACCCCTAGTGTCCTAGCTTTTGACGCTGAGGGTCGCGCCATTGATTTTGAGGTCTGGTTAGACGACCTGCAGCTGTTCTTACAGTGCGACAGGGCTGACGACCTTTCTCTCTTTGACCTCACCTCTGGCGCCTCTCCTGCCCCTGCTGCTGATGCTGATCCCGCTGTCCGCTCTAAGTGGGCCACCCGCGATGCTGCTGCACGTCTTGCTGTGCGTCGCCACCTCCCTACCCCTGAGCGTGCGCACTTTAGTCAGTACAAGAGTGCTCAGACCTTGTACGACGCTGTAGTTGCGCGCTACTCCTCCCCTGCCACTGCTGCACTGAGCCGTCTCATGCTTCCCTACCTCTTTCCTGACCTCTCTGCCTTTCCCACTGTCGCTGACCTCATTACGCACCTCCGCACTAGTGACACTCGCTACCGCGCCGCCCTTCCTGCTGAGTTCTGCGCTAAGAACCCCCCCCCCATGTACATCGCTCTCTACTACGTAGTCGCACGCCTCCCTGACTCCCTTCGCGTCGTCAGGGACCACTTTCTCGCAGTCTGTCCCACCACTCTCACCGTCGACCTCCTCGAGAAGGCCCTCCTTGCAGCGGAGAAGAGCATAGTCGCTGTAGGTGCTTCTCGTGGTGACCCTCGCACCCCCATCTTTGAGGGGTGCTCTCCTTCCCCCTTGCTGCCCTCTGTTGCCTCTGCTGCTGCTGCCGACCTGCTTGGTCTTGAGTCGGTCGGCGCGGCGTCTGCCCCTAGTGGGAGACGTCGCTCCAGCAAGGGCAAGGGGGGCAAGGGCGCGGGTGGAGCTGGAGGGGGCGGTGGCGGTGGCGGCGGTGGCGGCGGAGGGAGTGGGGGTGGCGGCGGGGCTAGTGGCGGGGGTGGTGGTGGTGGTGGCGGCAGCGGCGGCGGAGACGGTGGTGGTGGTGCCAGCGGTGGTGGTGGAGGCAGCGGCGGAGGTGGAGGCGGCGGAGGTGGAGGCAGTGGAGGCGGCAGCGGAGGAGGCAGTAGTGGTGGAGGAGGTGGAGCTGGTCGGGGTGGTACCCAGCAGCGTAGCGGCGGTGGTGGTGGCCAGCGCTCGCACCGGCAGCAGCAGCAGCGCTCGCGGGACATCCCTTCGCCTCAGCAGCTTCGTGAGTGGTACGCTGGGCGTCAGAGGGGTGGGGGTACTGGTCCCTGCACCTACGTTCTTCGTTCCGGCGACCGCGCGGGTGAGCAGTGTGGGGGTGCCCACGCCACCCAGCGCTGCTTTGGCCGCCTGACGGACGCTTGGCGTCAGCAGTTCCCTGGGGCTAGTGAGATCCCTCGCTGGGATGAGCTTCTCAGGGCTGGTGTAGCGATCTTTGATCTTGATTTTGATGCTATCCTTACTGCTATGTATGTTGTGGATTATAGTGAGGAGAATGAGGGTTACCGGTGTTTTCAGCCCGACCCGGGCATTGGTACTGCTGCACTAGGTGCTTGTGAGGCTGCTGCTCTAGGTGCCAGTGCGTCTGCGCTCTCAGGTACTGGTGAGACTGCGCTCTCAGGTACTGAGTCGTCCTCGTCCTCCCTCACTTTCACACTTGACTCCGGAGCTTCGCGCTCCTTCTTTCGAGACCGCACTACCCTTTCGCCGCTCGCCAGGCCGGTTGCGGTCTCCCTTGCTGACCCCTCTGGGGGTCCTGTCCTGTCTCACTTCTCCACTGTCCTCCCGTGTCCGGCTGCCCCTTCGGGCACCCTGTCGGGTCTGTACCTTCCCTCGTTCTCTACGAACTTGGTGAGTGGAGCGGACCTGCAGGATGGGGGTGTTCACCAGTTCACTCCTGCGCGTCAGAGGGTGACCCACTGCACGGAGGCTCGCACAGGCCGACACCTGGCCACGTTCTCACGTCGGCCGGGGTCGAGTCTCTACACCCTGACCGTTGAGTCTCCTCCTGTCCCTGCGTCTGGTCAGGTGGCTGCGTCGAGTCAGGTACTTGCTACTGCGTCCCGGTCAGGTCCTGAGTCTGCCCCCTGTTCTTGTCGCCTCCTGTCTCACGAGACTCTCCTGTGGCACCACCGTCTTGGCCACCCCTCCTTGCCCCGTCTTCGGAGCATGGCTTCCCGTGTCCTTGTCTCTGGTCTTCCCCAGTCTCTCCCTCCTCTCCCCTCCGGGCCAGGACCTTCCTGTGTCCCCTGTGTCGAGGGTCGCCTCCGGGCTACTCCTCACTCCTCCCACTTCCCCCCGACAGAGTCTCCCCTGCAGACGCTTCACATGGATGTGTGGGGCCCAGCCCCCGTCCGTGGGCAGGGGTACGAGCGCTACTTCCTGTTGGTGGTTGACGACTACTCGCGTTACACCACAGTCCTCCCCTTGCGCAGCAAGGGTGCAGTCACTGAGGTGCTGATCGACTGGATCCGCGAGGCTCGTCTCCAGCTCAGGAAGAGCTTCGGCTCGGACTTTCCTGTTCTGCGTCTGCACTCTGACAGAGGCGGAGAGTTCTCTTCTCGCCTTCTGCGAGACTACTGTCGTGCACGGGGGATCCGCCAGACCTTCACGCTTCCGGACTCACCACAGCAAAATGGGATTGCTGAGCGCCGCATTGGCATGGTCATGGATGTCGCTCGTACGTCCATGATGCATGCGGCTGCCCCCCATTTTCTGTGGCCGTTTGCGGTGAGGTACGCGGCGCATCAGCTCAACCTTCACCCCCGGGTCTCTCGGCCAGCGATGTCCCCAGCCTTGCTGTGGACGGGGAAGGTTGGCGATGCGTCTGTGTTCCGTGTCTGGGGATCTCGGGCGTTTGTCCGCGACTTGTCTGCGGACAAGCTGTCCCCTCGTGCTGCTCCCTGTGTCTTCCTTGGCTTCCCCACTGACGCCCCAGGGTGGCAGTTTTACCACCCCTCCTCTCGTCGTGTTCTGTCCTCCCAGGACGTCACGTTCGACGAGTCAGTCCCCTTCTACCGTCTCTTCCCCTACCGCACTCCTTCCCTCCCCCCTCCCCCGGACTTCCTTGTGCCGGTTCCCCCCCCGGTAGACCCCCTCCCCCCTCAGGTTCCTGCCCCCTCAGGTGTGTCCCAGGTAGACGCCGTTGACCCGGTCGAGGTTACTGGTGACTCTGGTGCTGCTGCGGGTGCTGAGCCTGGGGGTGCTGACTCTGGGGGTGCTGTGCGCGGGGGTGCTGAGCCTGGGGGTGCTACTGCTGGGGGTGCTGGGCCTGAGGGTGCTACTGCGGAGGGTGCGGAGCCTGGGGGTGCTGAGCCGGGGGGTGCTGTGCCTGGAGGTGCTGGGTCTGGGGGTGCTGGGTCGGGAGCTGCTGAGCCTGGGGGTGCTGCGTCTGGAGCTGCTGAGCCTGGGGTTTCTCCTGCTGCTGCGTCTCGCCGGGAGCCCCTCTCTCCACAGGAGCTGCGCGAGTGGTTCGCTCGCCGCTGGAGGCGTGCTGCTGAGTCTGGAGGTGCTGCTGGAGCTGGAGCTGGAGCTTCTTCGACCGTCGAGGGTGCGGGTGCAGCCGTTCCCGGAGCTGCTGGCCCTGCGGGTCCTCCTGGAGCTGGAGCTGCTGAGGGCGTTCGTGCTGAGCCTGCTGCTGTTGGTCCTGCCGCTGGAGGTGTGGGTGGCGCTGGTGCTGTCGCTGAGGGTGCTGGTGCTGTCCCTGCTGAGTCTGGAGCTGCCGCGCGGCCTCGGCCGTACTTCGTTCCGCTCCTTCAGCAGGTTCTTGGTCTTTCTCCTCCAGTAGAGGGTCCACCGCCTGTCCAGTCGCAGCCCCTACTGGAGCCTTCCTCTCCGCTGCCTGCTCCCTCTCCTTACACTGGTCCTACTGGAGGTCTTGCTGAGCGTCGTGAGCCTGCGTCTCGTCCCGCGTCGCCTGTTCGTGCTGCTCGCGCTAGTGGTCGCAGTTCGCGTCAGCGTCCTCCTCCTGTCCCTGGCACGCACCGGATGTCTTTACGTCCGTCCACTGCTCCTCTGCGTACCCCTTTGCCTTCTCCTCCTGAGTCCTCTCTTCCTGCGCTTGCGGACCCTGAGTCGGACTCTCTTCGTGCTGCCAGTCCCACTGTCACGCGTCTGCTTGCTACTGTCGTCACTGACCCCTCTTTTGAGTCCACTGCTGCGTCTGCTCTAGTCGCTGAGCTCGTCGACTTTGCTGCTCGCTGTCGTCTCGACTACGCTGCTAGTCTTGTTGCTGAGTCTGCGTCTGTCTGTCCTCCGTCCGTCGGGGGTGAGTGTGCTCTTGGCACGGACGTCCTAGAGGACAGGCAGGAGGAGTTACAGTGTCTAGCGGCTGCTTCACCTCATCTCGCGTCTGTACTGCTTGCCCCTGAGGGAGACCCGGATGCACTAGACATCCCGACTCCGCGTTCTTACGCGGAGGCCGTAGAGGGTCCCTACTCCTCTCAGTGGCAGGCAGCTATGGATGCAGAGATGGCTTCCTGGAAGTCCACAGGCACCTACGTTGACGCAGTCCCCCCTCCTGGGGCGAACATCGTCAGTGGCATGTGGATCTTCAGGGTGAAGCGGCCGCCGGGCTCTCCACCTGTCTTCAAGGCACGGTACGTTGCTCGTGGCTTCAGTCAGCGGCAGGGAGTTGACTACTTTCAGACCTTCTCTCCCACCCCGAAGATGACTACTCTTCGGGTGCTGCTGCACATAGCCGCTCAGCGCGACTACGAGCTTCACTCTCTCGACTTCAGCACTGCGTTCTTGCAGGGTAGCCTGCACGAGGAGATCTGGCTTCGCCGTCCACCTGGCTTCACTGGGACTTTCCCTCCTGGCACCCAGTGGAGCCTCCGACGGCCAGTCTACGGTCTCCGCCAGGCACCGCGTGAGTGGCACGACACACTGAGGACTACACTTGCGGCTCTTGGGTTTGCTCCTTCTACTGCTGACCCGTCGCTGTTTCTTCGCACCGACACTTCCCTGCCGCCGTTCTACATCCTCGTGTACGTCGACGACCTGGTCTTTGCCACAGCGGACACTGCTGGACTCGCCTACGTGAAGTCCGAGCTGTTGAAGAGACACACGTGCACAGACCTGGGTGAACTGCGCAGCTACCTTGGCTTGCAGATCACTCGGGACAGAGCACGCCGCACCATTACCTTGACTCAGTCACACATGGTGCAGCAGGTCCTTCAGCGCTTCGGCTTCACGTACTCCTCGCCTCAGGCCACTCCTCTGCCTACTCGCCACTCACTCTCAGCTCTGCCTTCGGATGAGTCCGTAGAGTCGAGTGGTCCGTATGCGGAGCTTGTTGGCTGCCTCATGTACCTGATGACCTGCACACGACCTGACCTTGCATACCCTCTGAGCATTCTTGCACGCTATGTTGCTCCTGGGAGACACAGACCGGAGCACATGGCTGCAGCGAAGAGGGTATTGCGCTACCTGTGCAGTACGTCAGGCATGGGGCTAGTGCTTGGAGGGCGGAGTCCAGTGGTCCTTACCGGCCACGCGGACGCGTCTTGGGCTGACGACCAGGCTACGCAGCGGTCGTCACAGGGTTACACCTTCAGCCTTGGTTCCGGCTCTGTCTCGTGGCGGTCTACTCGCTCGTCTTCGGTTCTCGGCTCCAGTTGTGAGGCTGAGATCTACGCCGGGGCCATGGCTGCACAGGAGCTTCGCTGGCTCACCTACCTGCTGACTGACCTTGGAGAGCCGCCTCGTTCTCCTCCAGTGCTGTACGTAGACAACAAGGCTATGCTGGCCTTGTGTCGAGAGCAGCGCTTGGAGCACAGAACGAAGCACATTGCTCTCCGCTACTTCCTTGCTCGTGAGCTGCAGCAGCGTGGTCAGTTGCGACTTGCGTACGTGGCCTCTGAGGCCAACACTGCTGATGTGTTCACCAAGGCACTTGCGCCTTGTGACCATCAGCGCTTCTGCACCCAGCTGGGTCTTGTGCCTGTCTTGCCTCACTTGCTCTCCTCTTGACTTCACTTGTACTGTGACATATATATATATACCTGCTCTTGCTTGTCTAGCTTTATGTATATGTCTGTACTCTTGCTTGTGAACTGGCCTTTGGCCTCACTCTTGTGCTCGGACTGTGTGGTGACTTTGTGATCCACCCTGAGCTTTGCTTTGTCTTGCTTGACTGGTCTTGTGACCCCTTGTTCTCCCCCACTTTGCCTATGGGGGTGTGTCAGAACATATCTATAGCTTATACTGCTGTGTAGGCTGTAGTGGGGTATCCCATAGGGGGTACAACCCAGTTAGGGTTTCATATTTGTACTGCTTTCATTCATAGTCCACTCATTCCTGTTTTCCTACTTTCACACTACCTGCTGACCGACCTTGGAGAGCCGCCTCGTTCTCCTCCAGTTCTGTACGTAGACAACAAGGCCATGCTGGCCTTGTGTCGAGAGCAGCGACTGGAGCACAGGACAAAGCACATTGCTCTCCGCTACTTTCTTGCTCGTGAGCTACAGCAGCGTGGACAGTTGCGACTTGCGTACGTGGCCTCTGAGGCCAACACTGCTGATGTCTTCACCAAGGCACTTGCGCCTTGTGATCATCAGCGCTGCTGCACGCAGCTGGGTCTTGTGCCTGTCTTGCCTCACTTGCTCACTTCTTGACCTTGCTTGTACCTTCACCTATATATACTCTTGCTCTTGCTTGCTTGACTCTTGTATATCTCTATATATGATCTTGCATGTGAACTGGCCTTCTGGCCTTTGAACTTGTGCTCGGAATGTGTGGTGACTTTGTGATCCACCCTGAGCTTTGCTTTGCTTTGCTTGACTGGTCTTGTGACCCCTTGTTCTCCCCCACTTTGCCTATGGGGGTGTGTCAGAACATTATAGCTTGCTTATTTTTGTAGGCTATAGTGGGGTATCCCATAGGGGGTACAACCCAATTAGGGTTTCCTATTTGTACTCACTTCGTTCATAGTCATTTCATTCTCATTCTATTTTTCTCACGTCCGTGCTCTTGGTCGAATCCACGTACAACCCAGCGTGCTTTGAACTTCTCAATTGTGCCATCTGCTTTTGTTTTAACGCGGAAGACCCATTTCCCGGTGAGGATGGTTTTGTTCCTCGCCACGCTGATGGGGACAATTTTCCAGGTGTTCCTTTCCTCTAGCGCCTTGAACTCTTTGTCCATGGCTTCACGCCATTTCTCCCTGTGTTCCCCCCCCAGAGCCTGCTGAACCGTCGCATGCTCCTTAGGAATGGTGTCTCCGTGGACCGCGGTGACGAGGCCGAGTATCTGCAGTCCAGTTTGTGAGTAGCGGGGAAGATTTGCGTCCTCGGGATAAGCTGCTTCATCTCCCGCTTCTGGATCGGGTAAGAAATTTGGTCCTACTCGTTCTGCTTCGTTGGTGTTGACTGTCGCTGGTGTTACATAACCGTTGTCGGCGAAGTAGTAGAAGGTTTCGGCGTTGATGCTTTCGCGAGGGTTGTCTTCGTCCATGGGAACGTCGACGGAGCATAACGGTAGAGGTCCGGCTTCTTCTGACGCGTTGTCCACACTTTGCTCGTCCCAGTCAGCTTCGTCTTTTGCGGAGGCGAAGGCTCAGTCTCCGCAAAAACCACCTGTGGGATCTTGGTCCTCTTGCAGGTTGGCAAGGTATGTTTGGAGTGTGAGTCGTTCGTAGAAGATGACGTCGCGTGCTGCTACTGTTTCCTTGGAGTGGATGTCGAAGATTTTCCATGCGTTGTAATTCTTTTCGATGCCGAGGTGTAGTCCCCACTGTGCGCGTTGTGAAAATCTTCCCGCTCGTGCTGCTAGGGGTCGGTACTGTACCATGCATCCAAACACTCGTAACATTTTTGTGCTGCCCTGTTTCCCTGTCCACAGCAGATGCGGTGATGCGTTGTTCGGAAGCGATGATGACGACAGCAAGTTGTGCAGCATTACAGCGTGGTCCATTGCTGCAGGCCACTGGTGGTTGGGTAGCCGCATGCCACGCAACAGTTTGCGCATGCTGTTCTGCAGAGTCCTGTTCATTCTTTCTGCTATGCCTTGCTGTTGATGTGCATAGGGAAGGGAGAGTAGCTGCTTGATGCCTCTTTCTGCCAGGTACTGCTTGAAGCGTTGAGAGGTGTATTCTCCTCCTCCGTCTGATTGTAAGCTTTTCAGCTTTACCTCCGACTCTCTCTCTGCTACTGGTAGCCAGGCAGCGAACGCTGCGAGGGCCATGTCGCGGCTGGGTAGGTTTAAGTGCCAGACGTAGCGGGTGGCGGCGTCGATGAAGGTGATTGTGTAGTTGTAGATGACTTGTCCTGGCTCCCGATTGTACTGGATGTCGCTGTACACCTTTTCGAGTGGTGCGTACGCGGGTGCACTCGGGTTGTGATGAGGAGCGAACGGCCGATGCGGTAAGTCGGCTTCGGGGCAGGTGAGGCATGTTCCTCGTGCTCGTTGAAGTTCTCTTCCGTCGAGTAGTAGTAACGAGTCCTTGTCAAGGACTCCTGCTCTTATGGTGTTGTTTAACACAGTGTTGCTTGCGTGTCCCATTCTTGCATGCCAGGTACTTTCGTCGGCGCGATGCCCGGGTGATCGTCGGTACATGTCGGAGTTGGAGTAAATGCTGGCGATGAAGTTGGCGCTACGATGAACTTCTCGTGGTGCTGGGTGGAGCTGTTGTGCTGGCGTTGGCGGTGTTTCATTGACGAGGATTGGTGTCGTTGTTGCTGCTGCTCTTGTTGTTCCTGCTGTTGCCGATGTTGTTTCTGCTGCTGCCGATGTTTCTGCTGCTGCCGATGTTGTTTCTGCTGCTGCCAATGTTGTTTCTGCTGCTGCCGATGTTTCTGCTGCTGCTGATGTTGTTTCTGCTGCTGCCGAATGTTGAATTGTTACTAACGCACGTGTTCGTTCTGCTTCAGGAATGGTATGGGAATACCAAAAGCCTTCCGGACTGAAGTCTGGATCAAGATCTGGAGGGTGTGTCCAGTCAGTGAAGTTCACGATGGCGTCGCTGTCTGCGGTGCCCAGGTCTGGGACGAAGTCGAGGACGAAGACATTGTTCTTCAGGACCGCCTTTCCGATGTAGAGGCCGCCTTTCCCGTGGTACAGTTTGAACTCTTGGGTGGTACTGTCGGCTTCCAGGTGTATGCCTTTCGCCATCAACTTACTGACACTTAGTAAGTTGTAGCCGAGTCCCTCCGCGATTAGTACCTTTGACATCTGTAGTATGACGTTTGTCTCTCGTGACTGAAGTTGTACAATTCCTTGTCGTCGTGTGCGCAGGTTTTGGTTGTTAGCGACTGTGATGACAACCTCTCGTTGAAGTCGGTGCTCTCGTTGAACGAAGCGTCCCGAGGAGCACATGTGCTGTCCGCAGCAACTGTCCAAGAACCATGTGTCCTTTCCGGGCGGCTCGCTTTGAGCGATGGCGGCGTACGTCGGGTTCGGTTGAAGTGACTCGCGGCGAGGCGTGCTGATGTCGAGTTGTTCTTCTGGTGAGTAATGTGGTGGTGACTCAGTTACGCAGGAGTCGCTTAGTCTTGCCATGTAGCTGACGATGTTTCTTGCTTCTTTTGCAGGTTGTCTTGTCGATGTTGTTGACACTTGTACCGAGGTTGTCGGATTTGCTTGTGTTGAGGCAACTTGACTGCTTGAAGGACGAAGTTGACGTTGCGGCGACGTTGACTGTTGTCGATTCGGGCATTGAGTACGAGGATGCCCAGAAGTCTTGCAGATGTGGCAACACGGAGGTACTGGCTTCGGTTGTCGTTGCCGGTTGTTGTTGTTGTAGTTGTAGCGTCGCTGAGTGTGGAACGCGAGTTCGGGTACTGATGTATTTTTCTTGTGTCGTTCTTCTTGCAGGTCCATGTCTTGCTGCTCAGCATGGATTTCGGCGCAGAGTGCTGCTTCGGAGATTCTCCCGTGTGCTCGTAGTATGGCGCGAGTGGAGCGCGAGTGAGGACCAAGACCGCCGATAACAACCGTGACGAAGGCGTCTTCTGAAATCGATCCTCCACATCGAAGAAGCTTGTCGCGCAGCTCGCGGCAGCGACTGATATACGCCATTCCCTTCTCGCCTGATTTCATCTCGATTGTTGTCAACTGCGCCATTAACCGACTTTGGTTCACGCTGTCTGTTGCTTGATACAGGTTCTTCAAGTGGTTGTACGCGAGCTCCGCAGAGTTGCCATATCCTCGGTAAGTCCTTATGTTCTGCTGTTGAGTCGGTGTGATGTTCCTCAGTAGTATCGTGTACGCCATCATTGATTGATACCGTCATACCCCGGATATACCCCCATGGGGGGCACTAATAAAACGTGTTTTTTTTAGGGGGTGGGCTTATAATATAGTAATTTTATAAGCGCCGGGGCTTATACAATGACATATATGAAATCTAGCTGTTTTCACTTCAAAATGTTCATCTTGTCATTGCGATTTCAATCAAGTCAAGATCATAGTGGGTGTGAAGAATGATCTCGCGTAAGTTTGCAAACTGCCAACACACACAGTCAGAATGAGTTATTTCGCCCCATGACAGCTCATTCTGACTGGACGCGCAGTCAGTTGAGTCGCGCGAGGGTGGGGCAGTGAGTCGCGCGAGGGTGAAGGGTCGAAATTTTATCAAGTGAGGATGCAAATAGTGTGTTTCGCTACAGAGATTCCAGTAACTTTATAAAAACTAATACAAACGGTGGCTCTTATAATACGTAAGCCTTCAGGGGGTGCGCTTATAATCGAGCACCGGATATAAGCGCCACACGCCAATTAAAAGCGCCAGGCGCTTATCCGCGGGTGGCGCTTATATCCGGGGTATGACGGTAGGTGTACTGCTGCTCCTCATACTGTGTGCCGTTTATTGGGTATGGCAGGGACCCGTCGAAGAAGCCAAGAATTTGCGCTCCTTCCATCATCAGCTCGAATTCGAATGACCAGGTAAAGAAGTCCTTCCCGTCGAAGGGTTTTGTCGTTTGCAGTTTTAAGACGTGCGCGAACTGTGACTGAACTTGTAGTGCGTCCATCGCTCTTTCTTGTCCCGGTGCAGGTTGTGGTTGTGGCGTGAAGCTGACAGAGCCGCGCTGGGGCTCGTACGGAGCGAAGGTAGGTTGTTGTTGTTGATTTCCGCGCGCGTAGGATGAGCCATCGAGACTCATGGGCGTCACGTTGTTGTTGTTGCTGTTATTTGATGTTGCAGGTACTCCTTGCTGGTGCTGCTCGTAGAAGGACATGAAGGAGAAGAATTTCTCCATCATGCTTGGGTCGAAGCCCGCGCCTTGGTTTGCGGGTGTTTCAGTAGACCCAGCGGCTGGTCTTGTTGATGTGCCTTCCTCTGTCTATAGACCAGAGGCAGGAGGTGGAGTTGGAGTGGTACCAGGAGAGCCGTTGGAGGAGCTTCTCTCCTTTCTGGTAGACATGTCTCTTGTTGTAATCAAAAGGAGTAGTAGAGTTTTACCCTAACTGCTCTCATACCATGTTGGGCTGAAATGCCCCTTAGGATCTTTGATAGGATGAAACTCTAGGTAAAGTGATGTAATAGCGGAAGCGTTTAAGAGAAGATTCTGAACCACCTTGCGCTGGTATGTGAGGGCAAAGTAAGTTGATTAAAGCAAAGAGATACAGGATTATATAAGGGTACAAGGAATACGAAGAGATACGGTTGTAACTGCTTTTACTGTTGCTGTTGCGGTTTGATACAGTGACGACTCGGGCAACTGCTCAGTATCGAGTCAGTTGTGTGTCCTTGCTGTCGCGCTGTATTTGTCAAGTCAAAGGTCGCTGACCTTTGACCTTCACGTAACCTCCAGCGGTTACTTCAACCTCCGAGGGTTAACTCGCTGGTGCCTCGATATGATTTGCTTCGCTTGTGCCTTGGTGTTTCGACACGATAGAAGCGCTTTAGGACCGATTGTTTCCAACAACTTTGAGGGAGGTGATCATAGGAGGGTGCGGCCGTCTCAAGAGTTTGCCGCAGTCGCTGCTGGATAGGCAGCATGTGATCGACCTGCAGGGTATTAACTGATGGGAGGAGGTGGTGATAGGAAAGGCGGGTAGAGTGGATACAGAAGGTGGGCTGAAGGAACATGGCTTGAAGTACGGTAGGCAGTGGGTTTTGGGAGTGGGTAGGTTGCTTGCTGGTGTTGGTTAGGTTTCTCAATACGGCACTGGTAATATCGTACAAGGATTGAATATCTGGCTCTTCTGAATATGCTAATAATCCACACTAACCTTAAGTTCATATGCGAGCACGTTGCTGGTTCGGCCAGTCAAATGTACAGATGTTGGAACACCAGACGGATGCGAATACACAAGCACAAACACACAGGCAATACTACCATCCATATACCGTATACAAATCCATCCTGCACGTGTTGATCAGTCAAACAGGATCCAGCGCTCACTGCCCACAGTCACCCCTGGAAGGTCACTGCTCTTCAACGCCAGCAGCCTATCCACATTCGTCTTAATGCGCTCCAGGCCTAGCAGGCTCTGCAAGCACTCCACTGCCCTCCTGGTGAACTTGCAGTCCAGCAACTCCACCCTCCTCAACCCAGCCAGATGCTTCACATGCTCCATGCCCCCGTCGGTGAGATTTGTTGGCGCCGAGAGGATCTTTAGGTTGGTGAGGGTGGTCAGGTGCTGCATCCCTTTGTCATTCACCCCAGTGCCTCGCAAATACAGCTGCTCAAGGCCTGTCAGCTTCCCCACATACGCCATGCCAGCAGAGGTGACACCCGCACAGTTATGCAGCCACAGCAGCCTGAGTGAGGAAAGGCCTATTAGGTGCAGCAGGCCGGTGTTAGTCACTGTGGTGTTACTCAAGCAGAGATCCTCGAGTCCCTTCAGTGCACAAATGCCTTCCAGCCCATCCAGTGCGGCACAGTAGCTGAGGTCCAGCTTCACCAGCCCCGCCAGCTTGAACACGTGCTTTAAGCCCTCTGCATCGAAGCCTGAGGACCCGTACAGGCAGAGCTCCTTCAGGTCGTGCATTCTCGACACGTGGTGCAGAGCAGCGCTCGACAGGGTGCTCAGATTCTTCAGCTCCACCGCGTTCCTTGCTGCTGTAGGTCTGCTCCATGCTGACAGGATTTTCTGGAGGGAAAGAAGCACAGAAACCCCGAAACGACTCAAACGATTTCAAACACTGCTCCAGTGTTTACACACGAGGAAAAACGTGTGGAGGAAATACGATTATGGAGAGCCAAAGTAAGATAATGACAAGTCAGAAATCGTGGGGGCATACCGCAAGTACATGTATGCTCCTTGAGGTACAAAGCAGCAAGCACATACATATTGGGCCATGAACCGCACTCACCTCCCACGTGTCTTGGCTTCCCCCCTGCCACCGCACAAGGGCTGCGACCACCTTCCACACGCGGTTACTCAGTCTACCAACCTCCGTTGTCAAGGCTGCTGATTCCCCTCCTTGCCTCTCCATGCCCCTCTCTCCTCCAAACCCCTCTGTCACACCACTCTCTCGCACTACAGCCATTGCTCCTCTGAGCTCGTTCTCCTCCTTCTTAACAAATGACTTCACTGCGATTGTTTGGCTCTTCAGCTCCACCAACCCGTCATTCACTCCACTCAACTGCCCTTTGCCTCCAGACACATCTTCCTTCACTTCGGTCAACCTTCCCTCAACTTCAGTCAACGCCCCTTTGACTGTGATTAACTCCTCCTTCAATTCAGTCAACCCCCTCCTGAATCCAGTAACTTTGTCTTTGACTCCAGAACATTCTTCCTTCACTTGCGTCAGCCCACCTTTCACCTTGTCCAGCCTTATGTCGACTTTCATCAGCTCTATTTTTACTCCAGACACCTTATTCACAGCCCCAGTCACCTCTCCTTTGACTCCACTCAATGCCCGCTGTATTTTAGTCAAATCCTTCATCACTCCAATCAATGCCCAATCTACTTTATACAGCCCCCCCTTTAAGCCAGTCAATTCCTCTTTCACTTCCGTCACCTCCCCCTTTACCGCAGTCAACTCCCCTTTGACGTCCTCCTTCATTTCACGCATCTCCCCTTTCACACTGGCTATTTCCCCCTCCATTGCATGTAACTCTTCCTTCTTTCCTGTCAATTCTGATTTGACTCCAATCAAATCCTCCTCTGCTCTGGTCAGTCCCCCCTTTACTCCAGACAACTTCCCTTCGACTCCAGAGAACTTGTCGGCCACTTCATTCAACGCTACTTTGAGAGTGATAAATTCCTCCTGCATTCCACATATTTCCCCTTTGACTCCAGCTAATTCCCCCTTCCCCTCAGCCAATCCCCTACTTACTCCTGACAATTCCCCTTCGACTCTAGAAAACTTGTCTGCCACTCCAACAAACTCTCTTTTGAGCGCAGCCAACTCCTCCTGCATCCCACACAGCTCCCCCTTCACTCCAGCTATTTCCACCTTCACTGCCATCAACTCACTCTTCTCCTCAGACAACTCCCTTTTCACTCCAGTAAATTCCCCTTCGAATACAAGACACTTCTCTTCAACTCCTCTCAACCCCTCCTTCATTTCACACATTTCCCCTTTTATCCCAGCTAATCCACCCTTCACTGCAGCTAGCTCTCCCTTCCCTCCAATCAATTCTTCTTTCACTCCTGCCAAATCCCCTTTGACGCCACCCAACTCCTCCTCCACTCTAAACAATCCACCCTTTACTCCGGCCAGCCCCTTTACTGCAGTTAACCTCCCCTTCTCTCCAGTTAATTCCCTCTTTACTCCAGCCAATTCCCCTTGAACTTCAGAATACCTTTTTTCCACTTTAGCCAATTCCCCTTTGACGCCGGTCAGCTCTTCCTCCACTCCACGCAGCTCCCCCTTCACTGCTGCCAGCTCTATCTCCCTCTTCTCCTCCACAGCAGCAGTCGTCTCACTCGTCTCTTCCAATACATCCAGTGCGTGCGTCAGCTCAGTCACCTCATTCTCCACGAACCAGCTCCTCTTCTCCAGCATCAACACTCGCTCGTTCTGCCTGCCCACCTCCTCCCACAGTGCGCCCAACTCCCCTTTCACTGCTGCTACTAGCTCCTCCCTCACCAACCCAAACAGCGCTTTCACTGCTTCACCTATCTCATTTGTCCCCCTCTTTATTGCCATAAGTGCGGCTTCAGTTCAGCCGGCTCCTTCCTTGCTACAGACTGCCGGAAGTGGATGGCACTGTAGCATATCGGGTGGAGGTAAAGGCATGGAGGTAAATAGGGATGTGCACGAAACAACAAGGAGGGGAAAGGAGCGACATTCTGATCAAGCTGACATGAACGTACAGTGAGTGACTGAGGCCTTGCCTCACGGAATTATGCGACCGAGGCGAGGCACGTCACTCGCTTGTCAAGCAAACGAGTATTCCCTACTTGGCCAAAAGGGCGACGCAAACTCTACCTGCGAGTAAAATATTGTTGCAATTGTCCCTTCGCACGGCATCTCAGAGAATATACTTGGCAATGATTTTCAGATCAGAACTTGGCCTTCAGGGTGGTTTCCAAGTGGGGCAGCATGTGGGTTTCTAGGTGGGGTTGGGAGGGGGGGCAGATTGAAATATCCGGTCGTGCAGGGTGGATTTCACAAGGGTGTTGAGGGCGAGGCGAGTGTTGCTTGCCTCGTCACAGGCAAGAAACACTCGTTCAACAAGGGGAGTAACGAGGCGGCTGAGAGGCGCCTGAGAAGTACTCAATTCGGCGAGTAATACTCGCCACACTTCGTTAGTCGAGCAAGGCACGATCTTGGTAATTGAAATGCGAGCAAGCAAAGCTCTAGCAGAAATAAAAACGGTTTTCGAAACTGTGTAAAGCCAGGAATCTGAAGTAGAGCAGAACGTCACGGATTTGTGATTACAGGACTTTCTGGAATGCCAGGCCACACATCCATTTATTTCCTTGGCAATGCCTACGTTCAGTTCGCCTCAGACATTGGTAATTACCGGCGATCAGCTTGCCCAAATAAGATCTTGGAAGTGACGCCTCCATGCATGACTAAATGACTGTTTTCTACATTTTTCTTTTCAGCGCCCTAAGCTTGGAACGCGGAAAGGAGACCGTGGGGAGGGCATATGTATGAGGACGAGAGAAACAGAGGGCAGGGTGCGTCAACGGACTCAAGAGCATCGGCGAAAGGAGCAATATGAGGGGAAACCCGGAATGCGAGCAGAAATGAGTGGAATGACGAACCGGCCATACTTTGGCATGTTTCTAGGGTTTCGTAGATTGAATCTGACGTCTAGGCTATGATGTCTAGGCTACTTAGACACTTGAATCCGAGCTCAGAAATGTGCATCGAACATTCCAAACGAACTGAAGTGCGCATTAGTTGTGATCTTCACTCGATGAAATGAGATGCTTACGTAGTAGAAGTGAGGCAGGGGCAAACCACGCAGGCTCCCGCTGAACGACACTATGAGAGGTATGACGACGAGCATATAATGTAGGCGACGAGGGAGGGATACTGGGGGATGACTGCGCTAACTGAGACGCGGGTTCGGAAAATATAAGGCGCTACTGATAAGTAGTAACGCGACTCGTACAACTTCTGATGAGACGGTGATGAGCATACCTAGGACTTGTGCTCCACATTGTATCAGGGAAATTCACCTTGAATGGTTTTGCAAGGTGTAATCCGATTCAAAGGTGTTGGAACTCAGTTCAGGGACGTGACCGCTTCCTCCGAAGTTCCGGGCGAAAATGAAGTTTCCGAATGGCGAATAATTCAGCAGCTGTGTAACAGGCGGTACGTGTTTCTTGGGCCTCGCAAATTGGGGCAGGGTCTGTGATTTGCGAACTGCTCTTGGTCGATTTTCGCAACGAAATTCCTTGTCGCCATTTACCTCCACACAAACATAGGCCGACTATTATCAGCGACCCTCCACACAAATTTGAATTTTGGTGACTGGTTTGTGCGAATTTCGCCATAGGGTAACTTTCGTCACGGCCACCAAATATTGGTGGCCGAAATTGTGTGCACGGGGATCTTACACACCCTAAATGGTCCTATTCGCGAACAGCTAGTCATGCTCCAGTAAGCACGGTTGTCGCCGTCCAGATTCGGTAGCCGTCGTCACTATCGCCACGCGCCGTGAGAAAAATGCATGTCAGTACATCGACCACTCAATATAGACCCTCACCATCACGCAGCACGTTTTGATTCGCGCCGCTGCTGAGTCACTTCGAGGGCCGCGGATACGCGATAGCATACGAAACCCTAATCAGAGGTAAGCCACTTTATCGCGTTTCCTCTGAACTTTGAGCCTTGCAAGCCTGCGCCTCACAGCCTTGCAACCCTATTACGGTGCTCGTTGTTCTGTCAGAGCCCGATGTGCAACTTTTATACACCGAGTCGCTTACAAATTCTGCAAACCGCCGAGAGGCTTGATGCATTCTTAGCCCCTCGTAGTATTGTTCCCCTGGCCCCTTCCCCTGCTGTGTTTCCTCGCCCTGGTTCGTGGAGTCACGATGTCACTCACCCATGCAATGACCGTCCAAGCCTGTGATGTGACCAACCGCATTGTCGGCCTGAGCCCTTCCCGTGCTGCTAATTTTTCGTCTAGAAGCATTCACCAGGCTGTCACTCACCTAGGCTCGGATTGACCCAGGTTCTGATTACCCTAGGTTCTGATTACCCTAGGTTCTGATTACCCTAGGTTCTGATTACCCTAGGTTCTGATTACCCTAGGTTCTGATTACCCTAGGCTCTGATTGACGTAGGCTCGGATTGACCTAGGCTCGGATTGACCTAGGCTCGGATTGACCTAGGCTCGGATTGACCTAGACTTTGATTGACCTAGGCTCTGATTGACCTAGGCTTACACTGACCTAGACTTTGACCGACCTAGGCTCTGATTGACTTAGGCTCTCATTGTTGCCCGGCCCCTTCCCGTGCTGTGTTTCCTCGCCCTGGTTCAGACGCTCACACTGTCACTTACACAGGCTCTGCCTGTGACCCATCTCAGCTTGTGACCAACCTTTCATGCAGTGTCTGACCTAGCCTATGACTGACTAGCGTGTGACTGACTAGCCTAGACATGTGCATAGGGCGAGTCGAGTCGGCCCTGACTGGAGTCAACTCGCGATTTGAGGTTGACTTGACCTGGTTATCCAGTTGGGCGATGCATTGACCATTCGGCCCAGCTGACTTGACTAGACTCGTATCGAGTTAATACTGACTCGATTTGTCGACTCGAGTCAAGTTAGGCAAGTCAAGTCAAAACTCGACTCGCTGTTTGTACCTAACCTAGAGAGTGGTTGTCCTGGCCTGCGACCGACCTAGGTTGTGAATCAACCAACCAGTCTATGACTGACCCGGCTTGTGTCTGACTCAGCTGTAAGTGTGACCCCACCTGTGAGTCTGTGATTACTATAGCCCATGGCTGACCTAGCTTTTGTTGGACCTACTCATAGCGAGTAATGCTTTTTCGCATGGGCCGACTCGTTACTCGTCCCAAAAGACAAGAAAATACGCGCGGTGCAACCGTTGGTACTCGCCGCACCAAGAATATCCCATGGTGAACTCTTTTTCCTACATGAAACATCAATTTGCTCCCTTTCCTCCCCCCCCCCCAGTGAACGGACTTTCGCTTCGCCTGTGAGTGACTTAGCCGGTGAGTAATCTAGCCTCAGAACTTGTTAATAATCCATCTTGTGAGGGACTTAGCCTCTGTTTGACTCAGCTTGTGCTTGACATAGCTGGTGACTGACCTAGCCTATGTTTGACCTACCCCGTGACTGACGCAGCCTCCAGCTGACTTAATTTGTGAATTACCTGGCTTTTGGCTGATCTAGCATTTCATCAACGTTAACATAGGCCTTGAAGGACCTAGCTTGTGGGGACCTAGCCAATGATTGACCTAGCCAATGATTGACCCAGCCAATGAGTGACCTAGCCAATGATTGACCTAGCCTATGATTGACCTAGCCAATGATTGACCTAGCCAATGATTGACCCAGCCAATGATTGACCCAGCCAATGATTGACCCAGCCAATGAGTGACCTAGCAAATGAGTGACCTAGCCAATGATTGACCTAGCCTATGATTGACCTAGCCAATGATTGACCTAGCCAATGATTGACCTAGCCAATGATTGACCTAGCCAATGATTTACCCATCCAATGATTGATTCAGCCAATGATTGACCTAGCCTATGATTGACCCAGCCAATGATTGACCCAGCCAATGAGTGACCTAGCCAATGATTGACCTAGCCTATGATTGACCTAGCCAATGATTGACCTAGCCAATGATTGACCTAGCCAATGATTGACCTAGCCAATGATTTACCTAGCCTATGATTGACCTAGCCAATGATTGACGTAGCCAATGATTCACCTGGCAGTGAGATACCAACCTCGGACTGACTGACATAATCTGTGACTGACCTAGCGTATAATGCCTCAACCTGTGAATGGTCTAGCCTGTGACCGACCTTGCGTGTGCGTGAGTGACTTGTCTGTCACCGACCTAGCCTGTATGTGACGTTGCTTGTGACTTGTCTAACTTGTGAGATCCTAATTCTGCAAGCGAGCTACTTCTGGCTGACCTGGCCCCTGACCACCAACGAGCGAGACGGTTCTAGCTGTCACATTGCCTGAATCCAACTTATATTTAGTCCAGAGCCTTCAGGTTACCCCAAATCAACCCCAACTGCTCTGCTTACCACATGACCCCTCCTGACCACTTGGACTCTCATTCCATAATGCTGTGGTGCTCTATGCGTGAGCAACGGCTAAGTCAATCCAGGCTCGCCCGCTACCCACTTCAGCTCGCTTTGTGTGATGGCCACTGACCACCTAGCCGAGCCTGGCTTGCTCCGAGCCAAAGTTGCCCATGTGGTTCCAATCTAATGCCCGAGCTGAGGAGGCTCTTGGCAATCTGCCGCCCCCCCCATGCGCCTTGCTATCCGCGAGCCTCCCCGTCTGGACCTCCTCCAGCAGGTGTTAAGTGTAATGCACCAGCTAAAGGGGTTTGGCATGTCGCATGCTCCCTGCCAACCTCAGCCAACGGAGGAGGTCTAACATGCACCAAACCTGACGTGGGAATTGAAACCCAGTGCGGCCGAGTTTACCTGGTTTCCGATCAGCCCCGTAGTCTCAAGTGACCATCTCGCTGAGAG